TGGGCTCCTGGAGCGTCAACAGGTACGATGGCCACTCGCTGCCGGTTCCTTCCAGGCCGAATGCACCGGATTCTGACGCGCACTCGTCGAACCTGCTCTCCAGCTTGATCGTATCGTACAGCAGGAAGTCCATGGCGTCGTGAATGTCGGCGACGGCGTTAGTGCGGAATTTGGTGAGATTCCGGCCGCCGGCGCCCCGATACAATATGCCAATTTGCCCATCTGTGATGGAGGGAATGTTTGCTTGCTCCAGCCATGTCTGCGCTCCCGAAGTGCGGTCCCAGCGGCGCTTACGGAACGCCGTCAACTGACCCAGCGCCTCGGCGTGGCGATAGGAATCTGACAGGCCCGACCAGTCGGGCTGGGCACGAGCTGAAGCTGCGGAATTGGTCATAAGTCAATCTGACTAAGTGCCCACCAGCTGGCCGGATGGATCCGCCGCAATGTCTCGGCGGTAGTAGGCGCCTTCAAAGCTGATGGATGAAATCCTTGCGTAAGCTTTGGTTCGAGCGTCGGCCAGGCTGTCACCGAGACCCACGCAGGCCAGCACACGCCCGCCCGCGGTAAGCACGGCTCCGCTGCCGTCGTCGGCAGTTTGCGTACCGGCGTGAAAGACGATTGAGTCATCGCTGTCTGGGCGCTCCAGCCCGGAAATCGGCACGCCGGTTTGGTAGGGTCCCGGATAGCCTCCAGGGACCATCACGACGCCCACAGCGGGCTGGTCGGACCATTGCACGGGAGGAGCGGCGCTCAAATCCCCAACGGCGCAGGACATCATTATTTCGGCGGGATCCGTGAGCAGGCGGGGCATGATTACCTGGGTCTCCGGGTCACCGAAACGGCAATTGAATTCCAGGACGCGGGGTCCGGCGCTGGTCAGCATCAACCCGCAATACAGCGCCCCACGGTAGGGTGCGCCGCGGTCGTTCATCTCACGCAGAACCGGCAGCATGAAACCGTCGCGAATCTGTGCTGCCAGATCGTCGTTCCAATATGAGGGTGGTCCGAAACTCCCCATGCCTCCGGTGTTGGCTCCCGAACCGCCCTCGCCGATGCGCTTGTAGTCCGTGGCGGCAACGACCGGAGACAGCTCATGGCCGTCGGTGAAACCGAACACGCTCACTTCTGCCCCGTGCAGCCAATCTTCGATGACGATGGTATCGCCGGAATCTCCAAACACCCGGTCTTCCAGGCAGGCGCGAATCGCCGCCCGGGCGGTTTCCCGGTCTGGACACATCGCAACGCCCTTGCCGGCGGCCAGCCCATCCGCTTTCACAACTACCGGACGGTCGTGGGTTGCTACGTAGTCCAGAGCGCCTCCCGTGGTTTGGAAGACGCGGAAGTTTGGACCCGGCACATGGGCCGCGGTCATCACCTCGCGGGCGAAACTCTTGCTTGCTTCCAGTTGTGAGGCCGCCTGGCTGGGCCCGAATGCAGGAATGGAGGTTTCTTGCAGACGGTCGGCCAGTCCCAGCGCCAGCGGTGTTTCCGGGCCGATTACGGCAAGATCAATGCCGTTGCCGATGGACGCCGCGACCAGGCCGTCGACATCGGTGTCGTCAATGGGCAGGTTTTGTCCCAACGTGGCGGTTCCGGCATTGCCGCGCGCCGCAAATATGGCGGTAACCTGCGGAGATCTACTCAGACGCCAGGCCAGGGCATGTTCCCGTCCGCCGGAGCCGACTCCAACACGCGCACGACCAGTTCACTCCCATTCTATGGTGCCAGGTGGCTTGCTGGTAATGTCGTACACCACGCGATTCACCCCCGGTACTTCGTTCACGATTCGAGTGCTGATCTCGGCGAGAACCTCGTAGGGCAGGCGTACCCAGTCGGCAGTCATGGCGTCGTCAGAGTTTACGGCCCGTATCGCGCACGCGTAACCATAGGTTCTGTAATCGCCCATCACGCCCACGGTTCGATTGTCGGTCAGCACGGCGAAACTTTGCCAGATGTCGCGGTACATCCCCGCCTGGCGTATTTCTTCCAGCACGATGCGGTCGCAGTCCCTCAGCAGGTCCAAGCGCTCGCGGGTAACTTCTCCGATGATGCGTATCGCGAGTCCGGGGCCCGGGAACGGCTGCCGATATACGATATCTTCCGGGAGACCCAGTTCCAGACCGACTGAACGAACTTCGTCCTTGAACAGGTAACGCAGCGGTTCTACCAGCTCAAAATTCATGTCCTCGGGCAAGCCCCCCACGTTGTGATGAGTTTTGATGCGGGCGGAAGTCCGGTTTTCGGGCGTTTCACTTTCTATCACGTCGGGGTAAAGGGTTCCCTGGGCCAGCCAATTGGCGTCGTCGAGTTCGCCCGCCGCGTCTTCGAATACCCGGATAAACTCCTCGCCGATGGTTTTACGCTTCACCTCCGGGTCCGTGACCCCGGCCAGGCGATTGACGAACCGGTCCTCTGCATCCACGTAGCGCAGATCCAGGCCAAGGTTGCGGTGGAAAGTCTCCTGCACCTGTTCGGCTTCGCCGTGGCGCAGCAATCCATTGTTGACGAAGATGCAGGTCAATTGGGAGCCGATTGCCCGGTGCAACAGCATTGCCGCCACCGATGAATCGACGCCGCCGCTGAGGGCGCAGATCACGCGATCCGATCCCACCTGTTCCTGGATGCGCTTTACGGTGTCGGTGACGAAATTTCCTGGGGTCCAGTTTCCCGGGCAGCCGCAAATCTTTTTAACGAAATTGGCCAGAATGGACATCCCGTCCGGGGTGTGCTGGACTTCAGGATGGAACTGCAACCCAAACCATCTTTCGCCGTCGGTAAACGCGGCGCAGGATGTGTTGTTGGTGTGGCCGACAGTGCGCAGGTTACCCGGTAGCCGCTCCACCTTGTCGCCGTGGCTCATCCAAACCGGAATGGAGCCAGACAGCCCGGACAGCAGGCCATCATCGTCTGCTGCTATCGAGAGGTCGGCATGGCCGTATTCCCGCTGGTCGCCGGCAACGACTTCTCCGCCCAACTTGTGCACCAGCGCCTGCATTCCGTAGCAAATGCCCAGCACCGGTATCCCCGAGTCGATTATCCAGTCCGCAATTTCCGGGGCTCCAACGTCGTAGACGCTGGCCGGTCCCCCGGACAGAATGATACCCCGGGGATTTATTAGCTGAACGGTTTCCCAACTGGCGGTCGCAGGAACGATCTCAGAATACACGCGCAACTCGCGAATCCGCCGCGCGATTAGATGGGTGTATTGGGAACCGAAATCGACTACGACGATAGCGTCGTGCTGCGCTGCATTCATCATCAGATAATCGGCGGTTGGGTCAAAAATTGAACCGCTTCAATATAACACATGAGGTGAGGCGGATGATGATCGGTGCTCTCCGTTGACCCCCACCGCAGTTGAACCGGCGATCCACGAGTTCAACTTTTTTAGACTCCGGGCCGACCGCGTATAAAGATGATTTGATATCTGGCGGTTTTGATACGCCTGACACCCGCCAGGTATTCAGTCCCGCCGGTTGAGTGGTCGAACTGGTGAGGGCACAGGTTTGGATACCGGTGATGGTACAATCGGCGCCGATATGGATTTTGACGCCGAAATCGCCCGTGCTTCTGACCTCATTGCCGGCGGGGGAGTCGTGGCCATACCCACCGATACGTTGTACGGCCTGGCAGCAGATGCGACCAATCCGGAAGCAGTCGAAAAAGTATTTGACATAAAGGGTCGACCATTTGATATGGCCCTGCCGGTGCTGGTTTCCAGTTGGGATCAGGTGGATCAGGTGGCGTTGGTAGACGGGCCGGTCGGCGAGATGGCAGAGCGGGTAGCGATCAAGTTTTGGCCGGGCTCGCTTACCCTGGTGCTGCCTGTGAAAGCGTCTGTACCCCAGCGACTGACCGCAGGCCGGGATACCATCGCGGTGCGGATGCCGAACCACCGGGTTCCCCTGGCGCTGGCGTCCCGGTTGCGAACACCGATCACCGGTACCAGCGCTAACCCATCCGGCCAAGCAGATATCGCTGGCGTGGATGAACTCCGGCGCTCTCTGGGCCGACTGGTTGATGGTATTATTACGCTAGGACCGAATCCGCTCGGTATCGCCAGCACGATCGTGGCTGTGTCGCATAACGGCGTGGAACTAATCAGGCCGGGTGCGCTGCTCTTCGACGTCATCCGTAACTATTTGGAAAACGGCTGATGTTCGTTCGTGTCGGGAGGACGTTATAACCATAGCAATCCCATACGAAGCCTATCGTCAGGCGGTGGATGCCGAGTTGAGAGACTTGCTGGGCGACCGCGCCGGGATGCTGTACGACATCCTCCGGTACCACCTGGGTTGGGTGGATGAACGCGGCAATCCGGCTCCTGGGGCCGCTACCCCGTTGCACGCACACGCTTTCATGACCCTGAGCGTCGCCGACGCAGTGCGGGGCGATTTTACCGGAGCGGTCTCGGCGGCGGCGGCGGTGGAGATGGTATACAACTTTGTGCTGGTTCACGGCGATGTACAGGCCGGTCGTGTCGACCAGCGCAGTGACCGCCCCAGTATCTGGTGGGTTTGGGGCCCATCCCAGGCTATCAACGCTGGTGATGGCCTGCATGCTCTGGCGCGTTCTTTGTTGATGCGACTTCGCGACGTCGGCCTCCCCGCCGAGGATGTGTTGGAAGCCTTGCGTTCCCTTGATCAGGCTTGTCTTACCCTGTGCGAAGGGCAGTACATGGATTTGTCATATCAGGATCAGTTGATGGTGTCGGAGTCTGATTACTTTGATATGATTGCCCGCAAATCCGGGTCCATTGCCGGGTGTGCCGCTCAACTCGGAGCGGTAGCGGTGGGCGTCGATGGTGAAACTGCAGCTGCCGCTAAATTGTGGGGTACCAACCTGGGGATGGCTTTGCAAATTCGGCAGGACATCGCAGATCTTTGGGGCCATTCGGGAGACGGGTTTACCGCCAGCAACGTGTTGAACAAGAAGAAAAGCCTTCCGCTGATCCACGGACTGGGAAGCACGGCCACGTCGGTTAAACGCGAGCTCGGTGGCATATACATGAAACGGGTTCTGGAAGCGGCAGAGCGCGCCGGATCGTGGAGATTCTCGACGATGCCGGGTCCCGGGCTTACGCAGAATCCAAAGCCGCGGAATTGGTCGAAGCAGCCAGTTCGAACGTCCGCTCCGCCGCGGGTGGAATGGCGCGTCCCGAGGCAATGCACCAGGCTGCGGATTGGGTGATGGCCGGCGGGTTGGACGCAGTTAGCTAGCGCGCAACGTAATTCGCATCCGGTCGAGTCGAGAAATTGTTATCACCATGAGCAAACGAACACTCGGTCAACTAGATGTATCCGGCAAGGCGGTTCTGGTCCGAGTTGACTTCAACGTCCCCATCGAGCAGGGCGCGGGAGCGATCGCCAACTACGACCAGAGGTTGCGGGCGACATTGCCCACCATCGAATACCTGCTGGAACAGGATTGCCGGGTCATCCTGTGTTCGCACTTGGGTCGTCCCCGGGGCGTGTTCGACGGGTCGCTGCGGATGGCGCCGGTGGGAGATCGGCTGGCGATACTGTTGGGTCAACCCGTTACCAGTCTGTCGGATTGTGTAGGGCCAGCGGCGCATCGGCACGTGGCCTCCATGTCCGCCGGTCAGGTCGCCCTGTTGGAAAATTTGCGGTTCTGGCCCGGCGAGGAAGCCAATGACGCCGAGTTTGCCGGTGATCTGGCGTCCCTGGCGGATTGCTTCGTAATGGACGCCTTCGCCGTAGCTCACCGCGCTCACGCCTCAACGGTTGGCATTCCCCGGTTGCTGCCGTCGGCAATGGGGTTGTTGACGCAGCGTGAGGTGGAATCGCTGGGCGTGGCGCTGGGGCAGCCGGAGCGGCCGATGGCGGCGTTGATGGGTGGCGCCAAGGTGAGCGACAAGATCCTGGTGCTCCAGAATCTGCTGGAACGGTTGGACCACCTCTTCATCGGCGGCGGCATGGCGGTTACGTTCCTGGCCGCGACGGGCAATTCCGTGGGGGCATCCCCGGTGGAAACGGACCGCCTGGATTTTGCCAGGGATGTATTGCAGCGCGCTGCGCAGAACGGGATAACTGTCCATATCCCGGAAGACCTGGTGGTCGCCAGCGAATTCTCCGGCGAGCCGGCCCGGACGGCAAACGTCAATGCAGATGATGTTCCGGATGGCTGGTACATCATGGACGTTGGCGTACGAACCGCGGACAAATTTATGCGGGCGTTGGCGGGATGCAAAACGATCATCTGGAACGGGCCGATGGGCGTGTTCGAAATGCAGCGGTTCAGCGCCGGCACTCGAACGGTCGCCAACGGCATCGCCGGGTTGAGAGGAGTAACCACCGTGGTGGGCGGTGGCTCCACCGCTGAAGCTGTGGAAGCATTGGGCCTGGAGGCTCAAATGACCCATGTGTCTACCGGCGGCGGGGCTTCGCTGGAGTTTTTGGAAGGGCGCGACTTGCCTGGAATAGCCGCGTTGCCGGATGCTTGACCCGTAACGATAGTATATTAGGGGTTGCGACGTTTTAGTCGTGGCCGCGGAGAAACGATGATAGACCTCGAACAAATTCACGACAGCATTTTGTCCACGCCGTCAAAGATCGTGCTGCTGGTAGCCGACGGACTGGGCTGGCCCAACCCCGTGACCCGGCGACGTGCTGCCCACCCCCGCTTTCCCCGCCCCATCCGTCCATTTCCCCCCCCCCAACCTGCTTCCCGCGTGCCCCCCCCCGTTCTCCTTCCTTTGTTGCCGCAATGATTTCCCCCCTCCCCCCCCCACCCCCGCCCCCAACCCCCCCTTGTTGTCCCGTCGTCCCCCCCCCCGACCCCACACCATTGCCCCCCCCCCCAGGAGAATGTGGTAGCTTTGGCCCCCGTCCGCTTGATGGGGGCGCTTTCCGGCCCTCCACTTTTTACCCCCTCTGAGAGCGAGGAACGACCTTCCCCAAGGTAGGCCTTCTAGTCCCCCCCTCGGGTGGGTGTGCGGCCTCTCTTTCGTTGTTTCCGACTAAAAGGATTTCAGCTATTTCTTTTCCCGTCCTTCCGAGATTATCTTCTAGGTATTCCCCCACCTGTAGATTTACCACAGCTATTTTTGTTCGTCGCCAGAGGTCTGTGCCCCCTATTTTCTGGTGTTTTCGCTCCCCGATTGAAGAGGGGGGGGAGGGGGGGGGGGGGGGGGGGGGGGGGGGGGGGGGCTGGGGGGAGAAGATGGGTGAATCACCCCTCCCCCGCACCGCGGAGCCCCCGCTTTCCGCAGCTCACCCGGTCGCCCGGTCTTTGTCTTCTCTCCCCCGAGCGGTACCCGGGGACACAAGGGATGCGATGCCGCGTCCCCGCCCGTGCCCTCATGTTAGGTGTGATTATCCCCCCCACCTATGATTCCACGCCCGGCTCTTTGGTTACACCCGCCCGCCGTCGTCCCCCCCCCCTCCCAGCGGACCGGGTAATGGAGACAACCGACCAAATTCAACGGGGAGGTAGGCCAACAATTTTTAGTCACCTTTCTCAACCCGCCCGGGCACCCCTATTGATTTCCCTACTCGAGTACCAGTGTTTCCCCCCACCACTCAGCGACCACTGCGGTCGACCCACGCTTGAATGATAGGTAGAGTTGCCCCCCGCCCGCGGCGGCCCCCCAGCCTCAAAGATGGTGACCCCCCGCCTCCAACTTCTCGTTTTCATTTTCACTGTTTCCCTGATGTTGCCAGGGAGCAACCGCGAAAACGCCCCTATTCACTGTCGCTTTCCCCCTTTTCCCCCCTCTCCTCCTCTTTCACCCCCCTTTTTCTCTCATTCCCTTGGCTTTACCCCGCCTTAACCCTCACTTTTCCTCCCCCCCCCCCCCTTCTTTCCCCTCTCTTTTGGTGCTCCTTCCGCTTCTCCCGTTCCCTTTCGCTTCTTTCCCCTCTGCGGCGATTTGGATATGTTCCAACCTTCCAGCACCGCACCAGTGGCCCCCCCCCAGTCCCCACCTCCCGGGTGTAATCCCGAACGTAATATCCTCAGGGCCTTAGCCCTTTTGGACGTTTCCTCGGGCTAGCAAGTGGGGTGACGGGGGGATAATGGGGGGGGGGGGGCACCCCCGTGGTCTCCTTTGCCCTTTGTAGACTTTTCACTTCCCGTATTGCCCTTTGCGCTCCTTGTGCACCGGATGGGGGTCAGACCCACTGCCTTCCACCCCTCTCCCCTCTTACCCCCCTCCCCCCGCTCCACGCTATTATCTATATTGACCCCCTCCCCTTGTTAAAATTTTCCCTCGAACAAGCACGCCATGTTCCCCCCCTGTTCGTGTACACTTGTCACCCCATTCCTGTCCTCCCGCGGCCCCCGTCCATTGAGTGGTTTATGCTTGTGCCCTTCCTGCCCCCCCCTTCTTGATCGTGGACTAACCCCGCCCACGCGCGAGGGTGACGTGGCCCATCCGGACACGCGCAAATCTGAGCTGGAAACCGCCCGCATCCCCAATCTCGACGCACTGGCGCAGCGGAGCGCGTGCGGCTTGACCACCCCGGTGGAGATGGGAGTCGCCCCGGGCAGCGGTCCGGGCCATCTGGCGCTGTTTGGTTACGATCCTCTGAAGTATATTATTGGACGAGGCGCCCTGGAAGCGTTGGGTAGCGCCGTGGAACTGCTGCCCGGCGATGTGGCGGCGCGGGGCAATTTCTGCACCGTTGACGACGATGGCATCCTGACCGACCGTCGTGCCGGACGCATTGCCACCGAGTTAAGCGCCCCGTTGTGTGAACGCCTGGATCGCATCGAAATACCCGGAGTTCAGGTTGATGTCTTTCCCGTGCAGGACTATCGGTTTGTGCTGCGGCTCCGCGGGGAAGGGTTATCCGAGCAAGTCGAGGAGACAGACCCGCAACGAGAGGGCATGCGTGCCCGACCCGCGAGCGCGTTGGTTCCAGAAGCTCAGCGGACAGCTGAAGTGGTGCAGCAATTCGTTCAAGAAGCGGCTCGCCTGTTGGCCGAAGAAGAGCCGGCGAATATGGTGTTGTTGCGAGGGTGGGCTCAACTGCCCAACCTGCCGGACTTTGGCGAGGTGTACCAGCTGAACCCGGCTGCCATCGCCGCCTACCCCATGTATCGCGGTTTGGCGTCCGTCGCCAACATGCAGGTCATTCCGACTGGCAAAACCTTCGCTGACGAAGTGGATACCCTTTATTCCAATTGGGATCAGCACGATTTCTTCTTCCTTCACTACAAGCCGGCCGACGCAGCAGGGGAAGACGGCGATTTTGACGCCAAGGTGCGTACCCTGGAAGACCTCGACGCATTCATACCGCGAATCATGGAGCTGCAGCCCGACGTGTTGATGGTTGCTGGCGATCACTCGACCCCGGCGATCATGGCGTCTCACAGCTGGCATCCGGTCCCGTTCCTGCTTCATTCCAAATTGACATTGGGAGAGGGTATAAACGCTTTCAGTGAGCGGGATTGTGCCCAGGGTTCGCTGGGACGCATACCCGCCAAAACCATCATGTTGCTGGCCCTTTCTCACGCCGGTAAATTGGCTAAATTCGGCCCCTGATAACATCCCGAGATTTGGACGGTACGGATATGACTCTGCCCGCTACCATAGTGGCCGGAAACTGGAAGATGAACACCGATCTGGCGACCGGAGTGAATCTGGCTTGGGCGATCGCGGCCGGCGTCGACGGCCTCGGAGATGTCGGAGTGGTGGTTTGCCCTCCATTCATCTCGCTGGCAGCGGTTCGGGAGGCGATATCGAACCGCCCGGTTTCTATCGGCGCCCAGAACATGCACCATGACGACAGCGGAGCATTTACGGGCGAGGTATCCCCGGTCATGTTGGCCGGCGTGTGCGACTACGTACTGCTGGGACACTCGGAGCGTCGCCAAATGTTTGGCGAAACCGATGAGATGGTGGGTAGGAAAGTGGCAGCGGCGGTGGCTCACGGGCTGCGCCCCATCGTGTGCGTGGGTGAAACCCTGGAACAGCGAGAAGCCGGAAACGCCACCGAAATCGTGCGCTGGCAGGTTACCTCGGCCCTGGCGGAGATAGACGCAGGCTCGGCCAACGAGCTGGTCATCGCCTACGAACCGGTATGGGCCATTGGAACCGGCCGGGCGGCTACACCGCAAATCGCCGACCAGATGATGGGCGGAGCAATAAGGTCTACCGTGCAGGCGGCGCTGGGGTCGCCGGCGGCGGCCACCATGCCCCTGCTGTACGGTGGCAGCGTTAATGCCGGCAATGCCCGCGAATACGCCAGTGTTGCGAACATCAACGGCGCCCTGGTTGGGGGAGCCAGCCTGGACGCTGATTCCTTCCTGGCAATCGCCAGATTGTTCGGCGACGGCAAGGACCGGTAACGCGGTCGTTACATGTCCGAACGTCAGCCGCTGGTCGCCGTAATCGGCGCCACTGCAACGGGAAAAACGGCGCTGGCGATCTCGTTGGCTCAGCAATTTGGCGGCGAGATTATCAATGCCGATAGTCGCCAGGTGTATTCCGGCATGGACATCGGCACCGCCAAACCGACCGCAGGCGAACGAGCCGCTGCCGTACACCATCTGATAGATATCCGGCGACCAGATCTACCGTTGAGCCTGGGCGAGTGGTTGCCCATGGCACGAGAGGCAATCGCCGAAATCTCCAGTCGCGGGCGGCTCCCGATCCTGTGCGGCGGGACCGGCCAGTACGTTTGGGCATTATTGGAGGGTTGGAGGGTACCGGCAGTACCGCCGGACATGGAGCTACGTGCCAACCTGGAAAAACGGGCCGAGGCTAGCGGGGCATCGGCATTGTGGCAGGAATTGGCGGCCGCTGATCCGGAGCGTGCTGCCCAGATCAACCCCCGCAATGTCCGCCGCGTCATCCGCGCGCTGGAATTGCAACGCAACGCCCGGTCCGGCACCGAGAATGTGGCATCAGCGCGTGCCGAAACTCCGCCATACCGCGCCCTCACCATCGGGTTGGCATCGGAACGGGCCATGCTGTACGAAAAAATTGACGCGCGTGTTGACCGGATGATGGCTGACGGGCTGTTGGACGAAGCCAGATATCTGGCCCGATGCGGTTTTGTGTTGGGCCAGGGGCCGTTGTCTGGTGTGGGTTACAGTCAGCTGGGCCAGTTTCTGGATGGTGAGTTGACCCTTCCCGAAGCCGTTGCACGCATCAAGACCAGGACCCACGCTTTGGTGCGACGCCAAAACACCTGGTTCAAATCTGGCGATGTTCGCATCACCTGGCTGGATGCTACTGGCCGGCTTCCAACTGCCGAAGCGCGCGCCCGGGTACACCGATTCTTAGGTTCGACAACACCGTGTGGTACAATTGGCCCGGACTTGCAGGACGGTATCCCCGCGGGGTAGGAGCGTTGATGGAATTCACCAAAATGCACGGGGCCGGCAACGATTACGTGTATGTAGATGCACGCGCGATGCCCGAGCATGACTGGGGCCAGCTATCCCAAGCTATCAGCGACCGCCACTTTGGCGTTGGCAGCGATGGCCTGATACTGGTGATGGATTCAGACGTCGCCGACCTGAAGATGCGGATGTTCAATGTCGATGGTTCTGAGGGTGAAATGTGCGGCAATGGCATCCGGTGTTTCGCCAAGTACGCCATCGAGCGCGGCATCGTACCGCGGTCGGTCGGCGAGGTAACTATCGACACAATGGCCGGCGTGCGCACGGTCGTCCCCCGGTACGACGGCTCTGAAATAAACGCCGCCCGGGTCAGCATGGGCAAACCGCGCTTTGCTCCGTCGGATATACCGGTAAACCTGGACCCGGCGATCAGCCTGAACCGCCAGACCATCATCAATTATGCGATACATCCCGGCGATTTCCGCCTGTTTCTTACCTTCGTTTCCATGGGCAATCCCCATGCCGTAACGTTCATCGATCAACCTGTCGAGGAATTCCCGCTGCACAACATCGGCCCGCTGGTCGAGAGGCACCCCATATTTCCCAAGCGCGTGAACTTCGAAGTGGTCAACATTCGAGACGATGGGAATCTGGACGCCCGCGTATGGGAGCGAGGTTCCGGTGAAACCATGGCATGCGGTACCGGCGCATGCGCGATTGGCGTAGCCTCCCGGTTGCTGGGCCACACCGGCGACCGTGTTGCGGTACATCTCCCCGGGGGCACTCTCACCATCGATTGGGACGGTACCGACGAAGTATATCTGGAAGGACCTGCGGGCCGAGGTTTTTAGTGGAGTGTGGACAGAATGACCAATTTTGTATCCGGGCCGACTACGTATGAGCAAGTCAGGTGGGCGGCAACGAGTTTCAGGGGCCAGGCTGATGACGCAGCCTACGCAGACGCCCGCAACCCCGGATTCCGCGATGCCCTGATGGGTCAGGATAATGGCGCGGCCGTTGCCCAATTGGCCCGGTTGCTGAACAGTTGCGGCAGCCATGTTTCCGATGATCAGGTTCCCGGCATTGCCGTTGCGATCCAGCGGGCCGCGCCGGTTCTGCAGTCGCTGGCAGCATCGGCCCTGGAGTTCGATGACCTGCGCTGCGCTACCCTGGACATCATCGAAACCGCGTTCGAAGGCATCGCCAGCGCCGACGGGGTCGGACCCTCCACCGCCTCCAGGATTCTGGCGATCCTCAACCCGCGGTTGTTCGTGCTGTGGGATTCGGCCATTCGGGACGCTTACTTCCCCACCGACGAACCCAACGGCGCAACTTACGGGCAGTTCCTCAGTGTGATGAGAATGGCGGCGTTGGCGATCGTCAGCGATGCCCGGGCGCAACATGGCATCAAGGACCCTGCTGGCCGATTGTCCCAGGAACTCGGTTTGAACCCGCCGTTCTCGCTGGCCAGTTTTATCGACGAATACAACTGTCTCACGCTGACGCGCGATGCCGCCAGGCGCCCCGCGGCAACGACGGTATAGGAGCGATATGGTTAATTTCTCCCAAAGATTGGGCAAGCTCTCTCCGTATCCGTTCGTCGAGATATCGCGCATCATTGCCGAGAAGCGGGCCGCCGGAGTGGACGTGGTGACGTTTGGAATCGGAGACCCCGACATTCCTACGCCGCAGCACATCATCGACCGCCTGTTGACCGCCTCTGAAGACCCGTCCAATCACCGCTACCCGGAGACGGACGGCCTGCCCGAGATGCGCCGGGCGATTGCTCATTGGTACAGACAACGATTCGACGTTGACCTTGATCCCGACACCGAGGTATTGCCGTTGATCGGCGCCAAAGAAGGCATCGGACACGCGGCTTTTTGCTTCCTGGATCCCGGGGATATTGCGCTGGTGCCCGACCCGGCCTATCCAGTTTATTCGGTCGGAACCATGTTCGCCGGCGCAGAGAGCTACGTTATGCCGCTGTACGAACGTAACGGATGGCTGCCCGAACTGGACGCCATCCCCAATGATGTCGCGCGCCAGGCCAAGGTTATGTGGCTGAACTACCCCAACAACCCGACCAGTGCGGTGGCGTCCCAGGAAGATCTGGAATCTGCGATGCGCTACTGCCGGGAGCACGATATCGCGTTGCTGCACGACGCCGCTTACTCCGAGGTTGGCTACGAAGGATACCGGGCCGGCAGCCTGTTGCAGATCGACGGGGCTAAAGATGTCGGGCTGGAGTTCCACTCCCTTTCCAAAACCTACAACATGACCGGATGGCGTATGGGCATGGCCGTAGGCAACGCCGACATGATAAAAGCCTTGTTCCAGATCAAAGCCAACCTGGACTCAGGGGTACCGCAGGCCATCCAGGAGATGTCGATTGAGGCGCTGACGGGCTCTCAGGACTGTATCGACGAGAATGTGGCCAAATACACCTGGCGCCGCGATCGGGTGCTCCAGGCCCTGACCCGCATGGGCCTCAAGGTGGACGTACCACGGGCCAGCCTCTACATTTGGGCGCCGGTTCCGGAGGGGTTTACCTCCGCCGAGTTCGCAGCTCGCCTGCTGGAAGAGACCGACATCGTCGTCACCCCCGGGTCGTCCTACGGGCAATATGGCGAGGGCTACATCCGATTGTCCCTGACCACCCCGGACGAACGCGTAGAGACCGGGTGCCAGCGGTTGGAGAACTGGGTCATCCCGTCTCCCACCCTCAGAACCTGAGGAAAACTCGCAGAATGCCCAAAACGCGCAAGATGGTAACAACCGGCCCGCAGGCTGAGCGGGCGGTGCTGGTTGCTGCGGAAGTGCGGCAACGCGTCGAAAACCTGTGGGGTATGGAAGATTCGCTGATTGAACTGGACTACCTGGCGCGTTCCGCCGGCGCCGAAGTGGTCGGCATCATTCGGCAGCGGGCCGACCGGTACACTCCCACCTACGTCGGGAAAGGCAAGCTCCAGGAACTCCAGGAGTTGCTGGAAGAGGAACGTCCCGATGTCGTAATCTGCGATGACGAGTTGACGCCTACTCAACAACGTAACCTGGAATCGGCGCTGCAGTACAAGGTCATCGACCGAACCGCGCTGATCCTGGACGTGTTCGGACGGCACGCCCGTACGCGCGAGGGGCAAATGCAGGTTGAGTTGGCACAACATCAATACCTGCTCCCGCGGTTGGTCGGGCAATGGTCGCACCTGGAGCGATTGGGCGGCGGAATCGGAACCCGCGGCCCGGGTGAAACGCAGCTGGAAACCGACCGCCGACTGGTCCGACGCCGGATTCAGAAAATTCAGGAAGAGCTGGATAAAGTGCGGCAGCGACGGAATCAGTACCTGGAACGTCGTCGTCGTGCTGCAGTCCCGATGGCGACACTGGTTGGGTACACCAACGCCGGCAAGAGTACACTGTTCAACGCCCTCAGCGATGCTGGAGTGCCAGCAGAAGACCAGTTGTTCAACACGCTTGATCCGGTGACTCGCCGGTTGGATCTGCCTGCGGGCGGAGAATTGCTGTTGAGCGATACGGTGGGCTTTATCCAGAAGCTGTCTCCCACGGTGGTGGCGGCGTTCCGCGCGACTCTGGAGGAACTTCACGAAGCCGATTTGCTCCTGCATGTCATTGACATAACTCACCAGAAAGCGCCGGAGCAGGCCGAGGTGGTGGAAAAAACACTGACCGATCTGGGATTGGGCGGCAAACCGCGCCTGTTGGTTATCAACAAAATGGACTTGCTCACCGATGATCCCAACGAAATCTCCGCCGATGCGCTGGCGGGGCTGCCCGAATTGACCGCGGTTAATTCCCCAGCCGTCAGCGGACGAGTGTTCGTGTCAGCAGCAAAGGGTTGGAACCTCCCTGCGTTGTTGGAGGCGGTACAGGAACACGTCGGGAAAGCGCTTCCGGCTTCAGAAACGGCTGTCGTCTAAGGGTTGTCCGTGAATCGTCGTAGCAAGATTCGACTGGTCCATACCTCCGACACCCACTTGGGGGATGGCTGGGACCCCAGCGCTGCCGAACGGGCGTTGTCTGCGGTGGTCGATGGCGTCCATCAGTTGAAAGCCGACGCGTTGTTAATCGCCGGGGATGTTTTTGACAACGCGCGCATTCCAGACTCGCTGCTGGAATTTTTCGTCTCCGAGATGCGCCGCCTGGAAGTTCCCGCGATCATACTTCCCGGTAACCATGATCTGTATGATGCCGGCTCGCTGTACCGGCGTAATCCCTTCAACGATGTGCCATCCAATCTGCATATCATCCGCCGTACCACCGGCGAGACGGTCAGCATTGATTCGCTGGGACTGGATGTCTGGGGTCGCGCCATGGATAACCACACACCGGCTTTTCGTCCTTTGGCAGGTATGGCGGCCACTCACGAAGACCGGTGGCTGGTGGCAATGGCGCACGGGCATTTTCATTTTCCCGACGACACCGAAGAACGGTCATCACCCATTTACGGACGCCAGGTCGCCGAATCCCCATGCGATTATCTCGCGTTGGGACACTGGGAACGTTTCGAAGACGTAAGCCAGGGCGAAGTTACCGCGTTTTACTCCGGGTCGCCCATGGGAGCGTCAAATGTCCGTGGCCAAATAGCGGTAAACGTGGTGGATTTTGACCCCGCTGGCGCAAAACAGGTGCGTGTTGCCCAGGCCCGATTTCCCATGCCAAAGCGGGTCGAACCGGCCTGATCGCCGACCGCTACCGCCAAATCCGAGGTGCAGTGTGAAATGTCTAAGTCGCGACCTGCGCATTTACGTTCTCGACCCTGCCAACGAGCCGGCAATTGCCATTGACTCTGGCGAGGACCTGATGGTGGAATCCTGGGACGCCTTTGAGGGCATCCGCGACCCCCAGGTTTTGGAGGAAAAGTCGCTGAAGGGTCCTGCCACCGGCCCCATCTACGTCAACGGCGCCGAGCCCGGGGACGCCTTGCGCGTGGAGTTCGTCAGCATCACTCCCAAGGAAAGCCCGGCCCACATGATCATGCCCGGCCGTGGATTCCTGGAGGCCGAGTTCACCGAAGCCTATCCCACCGTAATGAGTATCGAAGACGGCCACCTGGTACTGCCCAGTGGTGTTCGACTTCCCCTTCGACCGTCGATGGGGTTGGTGGCCACCACGCCCACTTACCTGCAGCAGACGGCCAGCGATAGCGGTCCCTACGGCGGCGATATCGATATGAAGGAGCTGGTGGAGGGCAGCGTGTTGTTTCTGCCGGTATTTGTTCCGGGTGGCCTGCTGGCGATGGGCGACTGCCACGCCGTGGTCGGCGATGGTGCAGTGGCCGGCACCGGCGCAGAATGTTCCGCCGACACCCACATCCGGGTTACCGTGGAAAAAGGGATGAATCTTGCCGGACCAAGGGCAATCACGCCGGATCACTACGTCGTTCTGTCCCACGGCGAAGACCTCGGCCCCGCCATGAAGCAGGCGGTGCGGGACATGGTGGATTTTTTGGTTACCGAAAAAGGTATGGAACCCTACGACGCCTACACCCTTTGCAGCCTCGCCGGGGACGTACGCGTCTCGCGCACCTTCCGACCCATCAGTCCGGTCAAGATGATGCTGTCCCGCCAGGCGTTGGAGCAGCTGTAGGTCAGGTTACCGAATACCCGCCGTCCACGGTTATTGCCGCACCGGTCACGTAGTCAGAGGCGCGGCTGGACAGGAACACCGTTGCGCCCTGTAGTTCCGCCGCCTCTCCCCATCGACCCATGGGTATGCGCCGGTTGATGTTGTCGTAACGCTCCGGCTGAGTTTCCGGGATCGCCTGGGTCAGCTCGGTCATGAACCATCCGGGCAGGATGACGTTGGACTGTATGTTGTCGGGCGCCCACGCCACGGCAAAGCTCTTGGCCAATTGCACCACACCGCCCTTGCTCGACGCGTAGGGTGCGCCGCTCCCTCCGCCGCCAAAAATGCTGAACATACTGCCGATGCAGATGATTTTGCCGCCTCCGCGCGCTTTGAAGTGTGGGTAAACCGCCCGGCTGGACAAAAACGCGGCGCGCAGGTTGACGTCCAGGACAGTGTCCCACTCTGCGGCGGTGATTTCCTCAGGCGATTTGCGGACGGTTGTGCCGGCGTTGTTGATCAGTATGTCCAGCTGACCAAAGTGGGCCACCGCACGGGATACCATGTCGTCGATGTCCGAATCGCTGGTCACGTCGGTGGGGATTGCGAAGGCACGGCGACCGGTGGATTCGACGGCAGCGACTGCGGCGGCGTTTTTCTCCTCGTTGCGGGCCGCAATCGCGATGTCGCAACCGGCCTCCGCCAACCCCAGAGCCATCCCCAGACCCAGCCCGCCGTTCCCGCCTGTAATGAGGGCGACGCGCCCGCTCAGGTCGAACAAACCCCCGTTGGTGCTGGTCATCTTGAGGCCTCCGAATCCAAACTGACCACAACTTTACCACAGCGTTCCCTTTCGTTGACCAGTCGGCCTGTGAGTCACCGTAGTCAGCAGCAAAAAAACTCGGGGCGACGCAATCGCCGCCCCGGGAATCTGTCGAAACCTGCCCTCCGGCTACAAACCGGAGGGTTGATATTCCTACAGGCTGATAAGGTCGTTCACTGCAACGAAAGCCGGTGCGAACACCAGCGAAACGATGGCCATCAACTTGAGCAGGATGTTCAGGCTGGGGCCGGAGGTGTCCTTGAACGGATCGCCGACCACATCGCCTTCTACGGCCGCCTTGTGGGCATCGGAGCCCTTCCCGCCGTAGTTACCCAGCTCGACGTACTTCTTTGCGTTGTCCCAGGAGCCGCCGGCCGAGGCCATCATGATGGCCAGCATGAATCCGGCTGCCACTGATCCGATGAGCAATCCGCCCAGTGCGGCCTCCCCCAGAATGAATCCGGTGGCAATAGGGGCCACGACCGCCATGAGGCCGGGGATAATCATCTCCCGCAAAGCGCTGCGCGTGCTGATGTCGACACAGCGTGCCGAGTCAGGTTTGGCGGTTCCTTCCATCAGGCCAGGAATCTCGCGGAACTGACGACGTACCTCGTCCACGATGCCCTGAGCCGCGCGGCCGACTGCCTGCATAGTCAGGGCGGAGAAGATGAAGGGCAGCATCGCGCCGATAACCAGGCCCACCAGAATTTGCGGTTGCAACAGGTTGATGCCGGGCCCACCGGCAACCAGCTTCCCGCTTTCGTCCAGTGTGATCAATCCGGCGCTCACCGAGTAAGCGGCCAGCAACGCCAGCGAGGTGAGCGCAGCCGAGCCGATGGCAAATCCTTTGCCGGTGGCCGCAGTGGTGTTGCCCAGCGCATCCAGCGCGTCGGTGCGTTCCCTAACCTGGGGATCGAGATTGGCCTGCTCAGCGATACCGCCGGCGTTGTCAGCCACCGGCCCGTACGCGTCGGTCGCCAGGGTGATGCCCAGCGTCGATAGCAGACCCACGCCTGCCAGTGCAACGCCGTAGAATCCGGCGAACCAGTAGGCCAGCAGGATGGCGACTGACACGCAGATCACCGGTATCAGGGTACTCATCATGCCGGTTGCGATGCCGCTGATGATGACTGTGGCGGCGCCAGTCTCAGACGCTGCAGAGACCCTTCTGGTAGGACCGTAGCTGTATGACGTGTAGTATTCGGTAGCCAGGCCAATGATGGTGCCAGCGACTAGACCGGCCACCACGCAACCGAACCAGTACCAGTTGTCAGTCATGAAAAAGGTCAGGATGGCGGCGAAGATGATCAGCAATCCGCCGGCCGCAAAGATGCCGTACCGCAACGCCCACAACAACTTTTCAAAATTTGCCTGTTCACCGCTGCGCACGACGAATGTTCCCAGGATGGCAGCAATGATACCGGCGCCGGCCAGCAGCATCGGAAACACCGCCTGGGAATGGAATACGCCGGCTCCGGCCGCCAGAGCCACGGCGCTGGCCGACAGGGCGACGGCCGATATGATGCTGCCAACGTAGGACTCGAAAAGGTCGGCGCCCATGCCGGCAACGTCACCCACGTTGTCACCCACGTTGTCGGCGATCACGCCGGGGTTGCGCGGGTCGTCTTCGGGTATGCCGGCTTCCACCTTGCCGACCAGGTCGGATCCAACGTCAGCGGCTTTGGTGAAGATTCCGCCACCCACGCGGGCGAACAGAGCGATGGAGCTGGCCCCGAAACCGAAACCGGCCACCGCGCTGATGTCCTGAAATATGAGGAACAGGATGGTGACGCCCAACAGGCCGATGCCCACCACGGTTACACCCATTACCGTCCCGCTGGAGAAAGCGACGCGCAGAGCGGGATTGAGACCGATCATGGCGGCTGCGGCAGTGCGAATGTTAGCCCTCACCGCTACGCTCATCCCGATGAAGCCCGCCAATCCCGAGCATATTGCGCCCACCAGGTATGATATGGCGGTAGCAGGCACTCCCAAATCGTGCTCGAAGACAGTGTAATCCATTACACCAAGCACGATTGCTACTACGACTACGAATGGCACCAACGACAGGTACTCGCGACGCAAAAATGCGGACGCTCCAGTTCGAATGGCATCGCCGATCTCGATCATGGTCGCATTGCCCTGATCGGCGCGAATGACTCGCCACGCTATGAGGGCTGCAAACACGAGGGCGATAACTCCCGCAGCCAGGGCTACTATGATTGATTCCATACTCTCCTCTCCGTTTTCGGTAAATAAGGACGACAAACATTGCGAAACTAGCACACGGCTATATTGGTGTCAATTGGCTGACCCAACGGCTGGGTGTTTGTCAGTTCATCCTTTGGTGGCGCTAGGTGTAGTCCGACAGATTTACGATGCGGGGCTCGATATTGCCTTCGACAATGTCTAATATCGCCACCGTGCCCGGAGAACCCGGGGAATGGCGTCGCCCCGGATAGGTGGGGCTGCCGGGATTGATAAACAATACGCCGTCTCGCCACTCAACGAGTTCTTCGTGGGTATCGCCAAAGGCCACCACATCCACCGCGCAACTGAATTTCCGCTGCAGGATGTCGTGAAGCCCGGAAGACGGATACTGCAGTCCGGTACCGTCTGGCGTGGTGAAAATTGGTGGCGTCGGCCACTGGATGTCGTGCACCATGCCGATGCGTACGCCACCCGCGTTTACTACTCGGGTAACATCGGCCAATCGGTCGCCAGCCTCGCGTGGGTCTTCATAGCCGCGAACCGCCAGCACCGGAGCCACCTGCTCGAGGCAATCGAGCACGCCGATGCACTCCAGGTCGCCGCAATGCAGCAGAAGCTCGCTGCCTTCCAAAGCTTTCAGTACAGCAGTCGGCAAATCCCAACCGCTGCCCGCCGAATGGGTATCGGATACCAGGCCGATTTTCACGCCAACAGCCTATCCGCCTCGCGGCGCCAGGGCTTCTATCGTTCCAAGCATGGTTTCGCGATTTGTGCCGTGGGGGAATGCCACGATCGGCATATCGACCCCGTTGGCTCGAAACCCAGTCATCTTGTCGCGGCATTCGGATGGTGAACCGATTACCGTGATCTGATCCACCATTTCATCGGTAATGGCGGCGGCTGCTTTGTTCCGGTCGCCTTCGGCCCACGCGGATCGCACCGCATCGCCCGCGACCTGGTACCCATACCGGCAGAAGAGGTCGTAGTAATACTGACCCATCCCGCCAATGTAAAACGCCATGTGCGCCCGAGCCTGGGCGGTGGCCGATGCCAGCTCATCTCCGTTGTCGGTGGCGCAGCACAGGATTTGCGGAGCGGTGGTAATGTCGGAAATTGAACGCCCGGCGGCGTTGGCGGCTTCAGCCAGCGGTTGTTTGATTTTGGGCAGTTGCTCGCGGTGCATCCAGATGGGCAGCCACCCGTTGGCCAGCTCCCCGGTCAGTTGCAGGTTGCGTTGCCCCAGGGACGCCACGTACACCGGTATCTGCGACTGTACCGGTGACACGCCCATGCGAAACCGCTTCAGGTTGTAAAAGCGGCCCTCGTAGTTGACTCGCTCACCGGCCAATGCCATACGGACGATGTCGATGTACTCCCGGGTTCGGGATACTGGATGATCGAACTTCACGCCGTGCCAATCCTCGATGACGATCCGGCCGCTGGTGCCCAGGCCCAATATGGCCCTGCCGCCGCTGATCTGGTCCAGCGAGGCAATGCTCTGCGCCACCAGTCCTGGCGTGCGGCTGTACACGGTTACAATCCCGGTGCCCAAGCCGATGCGTTCGGTGTTGCAGGCCAGCATCGTCAAGACCGTAAATGCGTCGCGCCCCCAGGATTCGCCGGTCCAGAAGGAGTCGTAACCCAGGCGGTCCGCCTCCCGGGCCACCGCGATCAGGTCGCTGTCGTCGTTGTTGTCGCGGCTGCTAAAGGTAATTGCGATGCGTTCCATTTGGTCAGGTAACCTGTCTCTTCGAATAAATGGACGATGAGCGATTGAAGGCCAACGATTGAAGTGGTCAGTTCCGGTTCTGCCAGATGATATAAGGGTCGAGCGCGTCGCCCGTCAGCGATTCGCCAAGCGCTTCGCTGGTGGCGGGGCTGGCCGACGCCTCTTTTACGATCAATTCGCGAACCGTGGCGCTCCACCTTTCGGCGTCCTCGGCTCCGGCGCGGTCTGTCAGAAGGTCGTTGAATCCGGCCACCAGCTGGTCCACCGGAGCGGCGAGAATCGGCCCGGATATTACGAAAACCACCACTTCGGGAAGATTTTCTTCGTCGTGAAATTCAACGCCCAATCTGTCGAGAATGCTGTTCATCGCCACGCCGCGGACGATTTCGTCAACGTGCGTCGGGATGTTCATCATGTGGGCGAACGGGTGATCGCCTCCTTCTCGGAGGGACGCCGCAAATTCGCTTTCCACCGCACGGTAGTAATCCTCGTTGAAAATCTCGTCGGCAGACAGCAGCAATATTTCCGCCGGCGCACGTCGGAGGTCGATTGCAATGAACTCCCGCAGGTGCGGAAAAATGGCCAGAGTGATGTCGGGCTGGCGCCCGTTGGGCAGCGGACCGCCACTCAGTTCCTCAAACAACGCTGCGCTCCTTATGGTTTCATGGCGGCGGACGGCCGCCGATGCTTGGGGGACTGATTCACCGCAGGTATCCGGCGGCGAAGTTCATTAGCCGAAGGCTAGTAGGTGCACCGCGTCGGCAACGCCCGACAGGTCATCAACAGCAGCATCCGGTTGCGCTTGGGGGTCATTTGGATCGGACGGTTCATAGAATCCGCGAATCCATACCGATTTCATGCCGACGCGATTGGCGCCCACCACATCGTTGGTCACGTGGTCGCCCACATGCACGGTGGATGCCGGGGTTGCTCCCAGGGATTCCATCGTCATGTGGAAAATCTCGTCGGACGGTTTGGCCAGCAGAACCTCATCGGAAAAGGTCAGGGTCTGAAAATAGCTCAGAAAATCGTGTCGACGCAGAAATTCTCGAAATGTGTAACCAGGCGTCATCCCGGTGTTGGAGATGAGACCGATGCGCAGTCCCATATCGCTAACCGATTGCAGGGTTTGGCGAGCGGCGTCGTGAAATCTCGGCGGGCAATCGAAGAACGATTCGGCGTACACACGTTCAATCTCGGAGATGGTGGGTTCGGGCAGGCGATCAACCAGACCGTCGTCGATCAGGTTGATAAATATTTCCACCTGGGTGCGGAAGCTAACATCTTTGTTGGTGTCCCTCACGGCCCGACACGCACGGTAGCAACTCCGGTACGCCTCGCGGATGTGGTCGGGGTCAAAATCTTCATCATGGGCCAGCAACAAATTGCGGGCGCCATCCAGGCGCACCTGAGCGCGCGCCTGACCCAACTCCCGGTTATCCAGGATCAGGGTTTGCCACAAATCAAACGTTACGGCATTAATGACGGCCACGATTCTATCCGTGTATGGTGGGATTGACGCGTGTGGTGGGATTGACGAAGCCAGTTTGGTCGATCGGGAAAGCGACTTGGCGGGTCTATAGCGGGGGTCGCCGGGTGTGCCAGTCGGTGGCCTGTTGATAAGCGTAAGCGGCCCTGATCACCGTATGTTCATCGAAGTTCCTGCCCGCCAGATGCAGCGCCGCCGGCAGTCCGTCATCGGCAAACCCGCAGGGCACCGATATGGCGGGAGAGCCGGTGATGTTGTAAACCCTGGTGTACTTGGTCAGCAAAGGCACTGCCGGAATTGATTCCCCGCCAATGTCAATGCGACGCTCCAGTATAACGGGTGCGGTAACCGGCTCCACTGGGCCAGCCAGCAGATCGACGTTTTGCAACAGGCCCGCAACCTGTTGGCAAAAAACCTGCCGGGCCTGTTGAGCCCGCAGGTATTCGGAGGCCGTGATAAACAGACCTTCTTCCAACCGGTCGCGTACTTGGGGATAGAGCTTGTCTCCATCGGACAGCAGGATGTCGCGGTGGGCTGCGGTGGCTTCGGCGCTCAGTATGGCGTTGCTGATCGGTTGAGCGTATTCGAACAAAGGCAGGGACACCTCAACAATTTCGGCTCCCAATTCGCCAAGAACGCTGATTGCGCCCTGCACCAGATCGGCCACCTGAGGATCGATCGGTTCCTCGAAAAACTCTCTGACCACACCGATGCGAAGTCCTCGTACGTCACCGGTCAGCGCGGCAGTATAGTCTGGTACGGGCACATTGACGGTAACGTGATCCCGCGGGTCGGGCCCGGCGATAACGTTCATGGTTAGCGCTGCGTCTTCCACGGTTCGGACCATTGGCCCAGGATGATCCAGGCACCACGACAACGGGGTTAATCCCGCCCGGCTCACGCGCCCGTACGTTGGTTTCAATCCTGTAATCCCGCACAACGCCGCGGGGATGCGAACGCTGCCGCCCGTGTCGCTGCCCATGGTAATCGTGCACTGGCCGGCGGCAGTCGCGGAACCGCTGCCCCCGCTTGACCCACCGGTTATGCGCTCCGGATTCCAGGGGTTATGCATGTGCCCATAGTCAGCGTTTTCTCCGGTGGGACCGAACGCCAACGGATGCATATTCAGTTTGCCCAGCAATATCGCGCCGGCCTCGCTGAATTTGGTGGCAACGGTGCAGTCTTCGGCGGGAATGAAAGTGTCGTAGATGCGCGTGCCCGATGTGGTGCGTACGCCCGCAGTGTGGAACAGGTCTTTCAATCCAACCGGGATGCCGTGCAGAGGGCCACGATAATTGCCCCGCCCAATTTCCTGCTCGGCGCGACGGGCGGCGGCTCGAGCCTGCTCAGGGATAAGCGTGATGAAGGAGTTGAGCGTTGGCTCGGTCGCTTCAATTCGCGCCAGGCAGGCTTCAACCACGTCCACCGGGGAAACTTCGCGATTGCGGATCAGGCCAGACAGTTCCCAGGCCGACATGTAGTGCAGTTCGTTGGAGGGCATAACGTTCCTCGCCAGCGGCGCCGTGTTACCGGGTTTCAGCGATGAAAGCAGACGGCGATTCTGCGTTTCTCACGTCTACTTCGAAAACCCTGGCCAGTCCGCTGCGCATCATCGTTACGCGGCGATGCAGATCTTCCATGCGCTCCGCATCGGAGATATCCAGGCCGGCTCCAGCGGCGACGCTCAGGAAAACCTCGTAAGACATCTCTGCGGCATCGTTGGTAGACATAATCGCCCCATGACGCGCCGTAAAGTGTCTGTTCCCGGTAAAACCGGCGAGCCGCGGTAATTATGGCGCAAGCCGCTACGGTTGGCAAATGGCCTCGCGTTGATTTACGTTGATTTACAGGGATGTTTTGCTGCCAAATTATGCGAGTGACCGATCTCTGGCGGGCGCAGTTTCGAAACCGCTCACCGCAACATTCTGGTGGTTGGTTCCGCTGTTGGGACCGGAACCGAAGCGTCGTGACGTCGGCTATACTCGAAATGCCATTCCATTCAACCATCCGGCCCTCTTTGGTGTGATGATTTTGTATTGTTCCCAGTGTGGTGTGCGCTTGTACCAGGACGCTGATTATTGTCCCGAATGTGGGCACAGGTCGCCCGCCTTGACGAACCCCGCAGCCGTCAGCGACGACGCCACGCCGGTCCAGCGAACCTGGGGACTCTGGCACGTTGTGTTGGGCGTCGGTATCCTGATTCCCGCCACGGTTCTGTTCGGATCGTTGGGGTTGATACTGCCGTTGGCTATCGCTACGGTGGTGTCGACGGGATTGCTCGGTGGAGCGCAGGTCGCTCTGGTCTGGGGATTGGGCCCCAGAAACTGGAGCCGTGGCTTGGCTGCGGTCGGGCTAGTGGCCCCGCGGACATCCGGCGTCGTTACGGTCGGCTTGACCGTCGCAGCAGTGGTCGCCAGCCTTGGTTTCTCGGTGGTCTACACTATGTTGGTAACGTGGCAGGAATGGCAACCGCTGATCCCGCCCCAACCCGAACCCGCCTTTGTGTTCGCAAACCGGTTGGCCATCTTGAGCATCGTGGCCCTGGCCGTGTGGACGCCCTTCGTTGAAGAACTGTTCTTTCGCGGTTTCGTGTTCAGGGGTCTGGCAAACCGTTGGGGAAACGGCGTAGGGCTGGTACTGTCGGCGTTGGTATTCGCCGCCATGCACTATCACATCGGATTGTTGCTTCCCATCCTGGTGACCGGTCTGTTGTTGGGTGGGTTGTACTGGCGTACCGGGTCCCTTTGGCCTTCCATAGTGGTACACGCCATTCAAAATGGTATTGCGACGATCGCGGTGATCTACGGCCTGTAGTCTGGACACTGGCTGCGCCGTAATATAGATTTGTTGTCGACCACCATCTGAACGCACTTCAACGAGGTTCCCAATAGTGAGTGGACCAGCAGTGAAAATTGATCGTATCGCCAAAAAATTTGCGGAATTCAAGACCCAGGGACGTCCCGGTCTCGTGGTTTTTATGACGGTGGGACATCCATATCGCGATGCGGCGCTGGAAATCGCGCCCCAATTGGTTGCTGCGGGCGCCGATGTGATCGAACTGGGCGCGGCTTTCAGCGACCCGATTGGCGAAGGTCCGGTGATCCAGGAGTCCAGTTTTGTTGCTCTGCAAAACGGCATAACGCCGCAGGACTGCCTGGACACCGCGGCAGCGTTGCGCCCGCTGATCGGTGATACACCGGTGATCTGGATGGGTTACTACAACACCATCATCGCCGCCGGGCTGGAAAAGTTCGCTAAAGCCTGCTCCGATGCAACCATTGACGGTTTGATAGTGGTGGACCTGCCCTACACCGAAGCAGAGCCGCTGGTCAGCCAACTGGCTCCGTTTGCTATCCACCTGATACCGCTATTGGCTCCAACCAGCACCGACGAAAGCATTCGAGAAACGGTTCGGTTGGCCGGCGGGTTCGTGTATTGCGTCAGCGTGACCGGCGTGACCGGCGCACGAACAGAAATGTCCGATCGGGGTTTTCGAGCTGGTGGATCGCGTACGCCAGCAAACCGATCTGCCGGTTGCGATCGGATTCGGCATTTCCAGCCGGGAGCATGTTCTCGAAGTGGGCAAACGGGCCGATGCGGCGGTGGTGGGAAGCGCCCTGGTGCGGGCGTTGGCCGACGGCCCGCCTGCCGAAGCCGGAAAGCGCGGCGCTGCTGTCGTTGCGAGCTTGTCCGGTCTCGGGCCCGATTAATCGACGCCGACAGGGTAAAAAAACGGATGATTCCATTTGCGGTACCCGTTGACATCCCGTTGGCACTGGAGTAGGATTTTCCGTGAAATGAACGCATCCTGCCAAAACCTGACCCGTGGCTATTACCGCCCGTTTTATTTTTACGCTTACCGCAACATGGTTGGCGTAAGTCCGGTGTGTGAAGCCCGATAATCTTCGAAAAAATCCCTTAGGCAGGACTTCAGCCGGACACAGGCTGAAGTCTTTTTTGTTGACCGCACAGCCTGCACTCCCCGGCAGTCACAGAGGAGGACATAAAAATGGTAAGTTCACCCGCCAAGGACGTTAACGTAACCAGTAATAACGCCCTGATTCGGCCATCCGAGCTTGAAGAACGCATTCCGTTGAGCCCCCAGGCCGAAGCCACCGTGCTGGAAGGGCGCCGACAACTGGAATCGGTACTGAGCGGCGAAGACGGCCGGTTCGCGGTAATCGTGGGCCCGTGCTCGATTCACGATCAGCCGGCGGCCCTGGATTATGCCGCCCGCCTTAAGCCGTTGGCCGAGCAGGTCAGCGATCGCCTGTTGATCGTTATGCGGGTTTACTTCGAGAAACACCGCGCACCACCGTGGGTTGGAAAGGCCTGATTTACGATCCCAATCTCAATGATACGTACCAGATTGAAGATGGCTTGCACCGGGCCAGGCGGCTTCTCATGGAAATCGCAGAAGCCGGCCTGTATTCGGCCACGGAATTTCTCGACCCCATCGTGCCGCAATACGTTTCGGATCTGGTGACCTGGGCGGCCATTGGAGCCCGCACCACCGAGAGCCAGACGCACCGCCAAATGGCATCCGGGCTTTCAATGCCGGTTGGCTTCAAGAATGGCACCGACGGCGACCCGCAGACGGCGGTGGATGCCCTGGTAGCGGCCGGTACTCCCCAGGCGTTCCTGGGCATCGACCACGACGGGCAGGCGTCCGTTGTAGAAACCCGGGGCAACAAGAATTGCCATCTGGTCATGCGTGGCGGACGCAGTGGCACCAATTACGACGCCCGTTCCATAGCCACCGCACAGGAAGCGCTGCTTAAATCCCAATTGACGCCCCATATCGTCGTGGATTGCAGCCACGGTAATTCCAACAAAGACCATACTCGTCAGCACATCGCCTTCCAGGATGTCATTGGACAGCGGATTGGAGGCAACGAGCATATTCTCGGTGTGATGTTGGAAAGCAACATCAACGCGGGCGCCCAAAAACTGGGATCAAACCCTGATGAACTGGAATACGGCGTATCCATCACCGATTCCTGCATCGGGTGGGACGAGACGGTGAATCTGTTGAGTTGGGCTTACGATAACCTGCCGGTCTGATCTTTTCGACGGCTACGATCACCAAACATCAACCCCTCTCCATCAGAGAGGGGTTTTTGCGGGATGGGCTCCGGTCAAACGGGGGGATGGCCGAAACCCGGCATCAATCGATCAACTCCGGGCGACCGCGCGGAACGGGTATCCCGGCGGGGTTGACACTACTTGCCGTGATATAATTGGGCCAAGCTACAGTTACTAATGCGGCGCCGTTAGTGCCGAACTAACAATTGTCGTAAGTTGCGGAGGCCCAACTATGTTCCCACAAATAAGCCTCAATACCGATGTTTCTCGCGATGATGTCGCCCGCATGCGCGATTGGCTGCGCGACCCGGAAGTTAGCGGGTTATGGTATGGCAACGACGATGCCGATGGCCACGCTCTGCATATCGGATACTCCCCCGAGCAGATTCAGGGAGCCTCCGACGAAGAATGGAACCAGGTTTTCCACCAGGATGAGCGACGGATTTACGCCCTCTACGCTACTGACGAATCCCATATTGGAGAGGGTCAGCTTCTCGTAGAATGGCCTCTGGAAGAAGCGCAACTGTTCATCATGATCGGGCGCAAGGATTTGTGGCACCACCACTATGGAACAGCCGCCCTGATTTCCATGCTGGATGAAGCGTTCGAGAAACTGGAGCTTCACCGCGTTTGGGTAGACGTCCCCGAATATAACGAACACGCCCTGCAAATGTTCCGACATCTGGGGTTCGTGCTGGAAGGACACCTTCGCCGTACCCACCGAAAGGACGGCGACTGGTATGACTCTTTTGCGATGGGTTTGTTGGCTGACGAATACGGACGGCGTCGCGACCGTGTGCTTACCCAGTACGCAACTTGATCATATCTCCGCACCAACACGCTGGCGCGTTTTGGAGTCGTTCGGTTGAAATGGCGACGGAGGAATAAATTATGCCGGTCATCACGATTAACGGTGTAATTGGCAGCGGCACCCTGGAGATCGGGCACCTGGTAGCTCAAAACCTCGGGCTCAACTACGTTGACCGTTATATTTTCTCGGAGGCGGCACGGTTGGTCGGTTCTCCGGTCAGGCGGTTGATCGAGAAAGAGCAGCGGGTGGTGCCTTTCCGGGAGCGTGTCGCCAGGTTTATGCAAACGGTGTTGGAGCGATCGGCTGTAGCCGGCGCGGGGGCCGAACCGTATTTTGGCCGGGGCATTGAAATGCTGCCTGCTGAAGCCTACACCGAGCTGGTGTCAGATGCGGCGGCGTCATCCGAAGTGCACGATAAGGCGTTTATCGAGGCCACCACTTCCGTAATCAAAGAACTTGCCGCCAGTGGTGACGTCGTGATCATCGGGCGCGGCAGCAACATGATCCTGTCCGATACGCCCGGCGTGGTCCATGTTGGCTTGGTGGCGCCCACCGATGTCCGCGTTGATACGATGGCCAAACGGGAGATGTTCTCCCCTGAAGAGGCGCGCGCCTACATGGATGAACTGGAAACCGCCCGCTTGACGTTTTACCGCAAGTTTTTCCGGGCCAATGCGAACGACCCCACGTTGTACCACGTCATGTTGAACATCGGGCGCATTTCACAAAACACCGCTGCTGAGATCATCGGACACGCTGCCGCAGACATCGGCGCGGCCCCTCGTACTGATCGCGCGTTCCGGCTGGCGCCCAGTTGGTGTCCCCGCTTGAAAACCCGCGGTGCATTGACTTCGGGATGGGGCGGCCCGTTCCGATTGGTAACCGGCTGGTGCCACTTACCAACTGCGATGACATTGCCGCTGACATTAGGGATTTGATGTGATACCCATATCTGACGGCGGTCGACCACGCGGTTCGTTTCCGGTTGTCAACGTAGCATTGCTGGGGCTGAACGCCCTGGTTTTTTTGTATGAGATCGCCATCGGAGGATTCGGGTTCCTGTTTGGAGCGGACAGCGTTGGCATAGTCACGTTCTTTTACAAGTTTGGGTTCATACCTTCGGAACTGCCTTCCGGGGCTGCTTATCAAGTCTTGCTGTCCGAATCGGGCCTGCAATTGAGCATCGCGTCGCCCATACCCACCTGGGCAACCATACTCACCTCCATGTTCATCCACGGCGGCTTGATGCACTTTATAGGCAACATGCTTTTCCTGTGGGTGTTTGGCGACAACATCGAGGATACGTTCGGCCATGTGAAATATCTGGCGTTTTACCTGGTCGCCGGCGCGTTGGCCACACTATCCCATTTCGTAATTGATACTGGATCGCAAACGCCGTTGGTCGGAGCCAGCGGCGCGATTTCCGGAGTCATGGGCGCCTACCTGCTGTTGTATCCGCGCAATCGTATCCGCACGCTCATCTGGTACATCGTGATCACCGTTGTTAACCTGCGGGCGGTGTGGCTGCTGCTCATCTGGATTGGCTTGCAGGTCATCCAGGGGGTGCTGTCTTTTGGCGTCAGCAATCAGGTGAGCACCGCGTTCTTCGCTCACATCGGCGGATTCGCTGTTGGGCTGGCGGTGGCGGGCGTTTACAAGATGGTCTCTCGTGGCACGGATGGGCCATCCGGAAACCGGGGCCGGCGTTCAGGTACCCAGCCCCGGTATTGGCGCGGTCGCCGTATTGATTGACGGCAATTAACGCCGGCCGGCTATGCCTCCGGGAACGGTATCAGACCCAACATGTCGCGCGCCTGTTGCGGCGTGGCCGGCTCCCGCCCGTGTAGCCGCGCCATCGTAACAGCCCATTCGATGTACTGGGCGTTGGAGGTGGGTTGCCGGTTATTGGGCAGGAACGGGCTGTCTTCGAAGCCAACGCGGATGTGCGCCCCGGTGGCGATGGCGATGGCGCACAGCGGAAAAGTCTGGCTGGTGCTGCTGTGCGCGAGCCAGGTGGAATCCGGGTAGTGTTCGCGGATGGTATCGGCCATCAGCATGTAGTTGCGTGGCGAACCGACCATCGTCTGCCGCCCGTCGCCCCAGTGACCGCCTGGTTCGACCAGGAAATACCTGGTGTCTTTAATGTAACCCTCCGCCATCAGTGTGAAGGCCAGATTCAGGTTGCCAGTGTCGTGGACCGCCGGCTCGGGGAACGTTCCCCGCTGATAGCAGGCGTCCAGTGTCGCCACAATGTCTTCAAACGAGTTGGGACTGATCGTTGTGCGCCGGCGACCCGTTTCAGCGTCCAGCGGCCAACGGGTGCCGGTGCCCAGGTTCAGCGACACCATTTCGACGGGTTGAGGAGTCTCCAGCAGGTAGCGCGTGACGGCTTCCACCGGCACATGGGATTGACGCGCGGTGGTGTGATTCAGGGCCAGATCGCACTGGGCCCGAATCATGGCATCGGTTTGGGCGTACCAGGCCGGGTCATAGCTGATCCCGCCAACCGGCGTGCGGGCGTGGAAGTGAACAATGGATGCGCCGGCTTCGTAACATCGCACCGCTTCCTGCGCCACTTCTTCAGGTGTCCAGGGAACGTTGGGGTTGTCTTCGCGGCCCCGACTGCCGTTCAGGCAACCTTTGATGATGATGGTGTCCATGCGAATCGGCCTCTGGTTTTGATTGATTCGACCCGGTGCATAACTTACGAAGGCGTTACCTTCAGTGTGTGCCTGCGCGTCGGCCCGTATGCTATCATAACGCCGTTGAGGTGGTGGGCCTTGATATTGGCCCCCACGAGCTCGCTATTTCGTTGGTTTTATTATTTCCCCAGGAGGAGCTGATGCTGGATTACAAGCCCAATATGGTATTGACCAATGACCGAGAGTATAAGGTCGTCGGAACCCGGCCCATCCGCCACGACGGAGCGGACAAGGTAACCGGCCTGGCTCGGTACAGCGCCGATTTGAACCTGCCCGGCATGTTGTACGGAAAAGTGCTGCGCAGCCCGCATGCTCATGCTCGGATCAAGTCCATCGATACCAGCAGGGCAGAGGCCCTCCCCGGAGTCCGCGCCGTGATCACCGGCGCCGATATCGTCGAGCCCACCGGCCGGGCGTCTGACATGGCTGAGGGCGCCATGATCAATTTCAAGTTCCTCAGCAATAACATCCTGGCCCAGGACAAAGCCCTTTACAAGGGACACGCCATCGCCGCCGTGGCCGCTGTCAACGCCCACGTTGCCGAAGAAGCCCTGGACCTTATTGATGTGGATTTCGAGGTGTTGCCACCCGTTATGCACGCTCGGGACGCCATGGCGGAAGGGGCGACGCTGGTTCATGAGCGGCTGGCCGCGTTCAGTACCGCCGGTATCCGCGCCGGCGGCGTTCTGGACGACGGCGATGACTCAGCCGGCACGAATATCGCCAACCACTTTGAGTTCCGGATGGGCGATCTGGACGCTGGATTCGCGGCCGCTGACGTCGTTGTCGAGCGAGCGGTTTCGACATCGGCGGTTCATCAGGGTTACATCGAACCCCACAGCGGCACCGCCATGTGGCACGACGACGGTAATCTCACAATTTGGTCCAGCAGTCAGGGGCATTTCACCGTCCGCGACCATACCGCTCGCCTGGTAGGCGTGCCGGTTTCCAGCGTAAAAGCGATTCCCATGGAGATTGGAGGCGGATTCGGCGCCAAACTCGCGGTGTATATGGAACCGCTGGCAGCCCTGTTGGCCAAGAAAGCCCACGCTCCGGTCAAAGTGGCGATGAACCGCACCGAAGTATTTGAAGCGACCGGACCGACCTCCGGCACCGAAATATCCTGCCGGATCGGAGCAACCAACGACGGCAAGATAACCGCCGCCGAAGTACACCTGATCTTCGAGGCGGGGGCATTCCCCGGCTCTCCCGTGCCCGGTGCGGCCAACTGCGTGTTTTCGGCTTATGATATCCCCAACACCTGGATCGAAGGCTACGATATCGTTGTCAACCGGCCCAAGACCGCAGCCTATCGCGCCCCAGGTTCGCCGGCTGCTGCTTTCTGTGTAGAAGTGGCGCTGGATGAACTGGCCGAGAAACTGGGTGTAGATGCCATCGACCTGCGCCTGATAAACAGCGCCAAAGAGGGCACCCGGCGACCCACCGGACCATTGACCCCGAAGGTGGGTTACATCGAGACCCTGGAAGCCTCCAAGGCGCATCCCCACTACAGTGCGCCGAAGGATGGCAAGTACCGCGGCCGCGGGTTCGCCGCGGGATTCTGGGGGAATAACACCGGACCTTCCAGCGCGGTGGCCGTCGTAAATCCGGACGGGACCGTCAGCTTGACCGAGGGCTCCCCTGACATCGGGGGAACCAGGGCCTCGGTATCCCAGCAATTCGCTGAGGTTCTGGGTATCGCGGTGGAGGATGTCCACCCGCAGATCGGCGACACCGATTCCATCGGTTTCACCTCCAACACCGGCGGCAGCAGCGTCACCTTCAAAACCGGATTCGCTGCCTATACTGCCGCTCAGGATGTAAAACAGCAGATGATTTCCCGGGCGGCCCGCATTTGGGAAGTCTCGGAAGATGACGTTGAGTTCGAAGACGGCGTGCTGAAGCACCGCGCCGACGACCAGTTGCAACTGACCTTCCGTCAGCTGTCAGCGCGTCAGGTTCCTACCGGCGGCCCGATCGTCGGGCGTGGCGGTGTAAACCCCGGCGGCGCCGGCCCCGCTATCGCCTGCCACATCGTGGATGTTGAGGTCGATGTCGACACCGGCAAGGTTGAAATCCTGCGTTACACTGCGATTCAGGACGCCGGCAAAGCCATCCACCCGTCATACGTAGAGGGACAGATCCAGGGCGGCGTCGTCCAGGGGAATCGGCTGGGCGCTCAACGAGGAGTACTACACCAACGATCTGGGGCACATGGTAAATTCCAGCTTCCTGGATTACCGGATGCCCACCAGCCTGGACCTGCCCATGATCGACACCTGCATCGTCGAGGTTGACAACCCAAATCACCCGTACGGTGTGCGAGGCGTCGGCGAAGTGCCGATCGTTCCTCCCATGGCCGCAATCGCCAACGCGATCCACGATGCCATCGGCGTGCGCCTGGAGGTTCTTCCCATGAACCCCGGCAACGTGCTGGAAGCGTTGTGGGCGAACGGAAGCAAATAGATCAACTCCAGTTACGGCTTCACCATAACGGCTAGTGGATGCAAAAATGGCTGACGTGTGGATACCAGCTCAGATGCAACGCATTACCGGAGCGCCGGACCGCGTTCAAGTATCCGGCGCCACGGTGCGTCAGGTCATCAACAACCTGGAAACCCTGCATCCGGGCATTAAAGAGCTGCTGTACGATGAGGAAACGGACGACGTCACCCCCGGGTTGGCGGTGATTATCGACGGTGAAGTGAGCCAACTGGGATTGCTGGATCGCGTTTCCGAAGGGAGCGAAATGCATTTCCTCCCGGCCATTGGCGGGGGCGACATCGTGCATTAGCGCATCGCGCGCCGAGGTATAAAAAAAGGAGCCGGAGCATCATTGCTCCGGCTCCTTTTTTGGTTACCCGTGTGATGTCGCCTAAATTCTCTCGGTAGCGAACTACTCCGGGAAGAGGGTGACAACGAAGGAGAAACGGGAGTACTCCTCGCCCTGGTGAGCGCCAAAGGCGGCCCCGCCCAGTCCCGTTTCCAAAATCTCGAATTCGTCAAAGTCCATATCCAACTCGTCAGGGTCTAAATATTGAATGATCAGCTGGAAGTTCACGTAGCCCATGCCCTGTCGGGTTCCTATAATGTGCCCGCTCGCACGTTGATATTCACCGTTGGATGTGAGACTGTCGGCGTCGCCATTTTGCACATCGACGATAGTTACCAGCGCATCTTCGGTGGACGCCAGTGTCATATAGCCATCGTGCAGTACGTACCCGGGCGAGTAGGCAATGTCCGAGAACCCTAAAGCGTCCAGTTTCAGGACTATCGCATCGTCTTCAGCCCCCACGTCCACCGGTTCGGCGCTCACTACCCCGAAGGAATATTCCTCAACCAGTTCGACGACGACGTCCATCGTATCCTGCAGGTCGAGTTTGTTGTCTGAACGGTACGAAAGCATAGCCATCGCGTCCACGGCGTTCGTTTCCGGATCGTCAGCTACTTCCTGGAAATCGAACTCCCTGATTCCGATAATTATTTCACCGCTCAGGTAGTCTATGAAGTCTAGCTCCAGGTCCACGCCGGTAGCGTTGGCAACGACGTCAATCACCGTATCAAGTACGTCGGCCAGTGAATCATCAGGGTCCACGGTCAAACCGCCCACACCGAAGTCACTCAAACCGTAGTCAATCTCATCCAGCGCTTCTGCCAGGAACCACAAATCCCCAACTGGATAATCGTCCAGAACATTCCGCCAGTTGTCCACGCTGGGGTCGAAGGCAGAAGCGACGAAACCCAGCGTATCATCAGGCAGCACCCGGGCCGGGTTGTCCAGATCCGCGATCTCCAATCCGAAGTCCGTGGTGGTCGGACTGACCGTGTCGACTACCAGCCCGCGATCAACCCACTGGAAAGACGTCGCCACCCACTTGGGCGGTTCAAAATCGAAGGGATCGACGCCGGCCATCATCATGGTCAACCCAACCGCTGCGTCGATTTCGTCCACGATGCCTTCAACATCGGCGTATACCGAGGCAAACCGGCGGGCGGGTAGCGCCGCCTGCGCTTCCTGGAAGTCGGGATTGTCTGCCAGGGATTTTCCGCCGTCCCCGGAGATCATATCCAGAGTGTCAAACAGTGCATCCTCGTCGCTGGCGACCACCAGCCATTTGTTGGATAACGCAAAAGCCCCGTCACCGTCTTCTTCGAGCCAGACATCGAAGTCTCCCTCAGAATCGTCAATGAAATCTGATCCCTCCTCCTCCCCATAATCGATCAGTAGATCCATGAAATCCGCTGCGGCAGAGGCGTCACGCACGCCGACGATGGCGGCCACCGAGGGATCGAATGAACCAACATCGAGCAGTGCGGCGGACATGTCGGGGCCAATCCAGGGGAGGATATCCTCCTCGAAATCAATGTCCGTCTCCTCACGAAATTCCTCCAGCAGGTCCTGTACGGCGTCGTGGAATCCATCCAACTCGTCGAAACGTTCCCAGATATCCAGCATTTCGGCCCGTTGCCCATCGCCGGGATTCAGCGTCATCCAGCTGTACGCCAGCACGTCATCGGGGAAATATTGTGCCGTATTCTCGGGCTTGGATCCGCCCAGTCCCGGGATTGGTATGATTCCGAAGTAGGCTAATGCGCCAACGGCTATTATCGCGATGACCAGCGCCCCGATGATGGATCCAACGAGTTTCAAAACCATTGTTGTCCTTCGCCTTTGTTCAATATTAGAGATTCTGCGGCATGGTGACGGGCAAACGCAAGTTGTGCGATACGCCAGGCGGCCGGGCTATTTTGTGAGAGAGCATTGGTAAACATAACAAGCGCCGTACCCGCGCTAACAGGTACGGCGCTCAAGTTACCCGGATCGATTAGCGGTCCGGTCGAAGGCTGCGCGGCAGGTTGTCGGTGGATTCGCAGTAATCCATCGCTTCGCCGAAGAGGAAGCCTATCTCGCCGTCCTGCTCCAGTTCCTCAAAGGTTTCGGTGTCGAAATCTCCACCAAGTATGTCGAGCGAACATTGGCATGCTCCTTCGTCCACATCGGCGTCGGCGCATTCTTCGAGATAGAAATCTTCTATATCGGAGCTCAACCCGCCGAAATCCCGACTCGCGCCAATGTCGGGTATCAACCTCCGCGGAAGTTCTTGCGTCGCTTCGCAGTACCCGACAGCGTCTTGATAGATAACGAATACCAGTTCATCGCCGTTGCGGGAATCTTCGATGTCGGCAATGGCGTTTTTGTCGAAGTCATGGTCTACGATTGCCCAACCGCATTCGCATACGTCCTCGTCCAGACCCCAACCCCGCCTGTCGTCGGTACATTCATCGATGTAATCGGCTTTGAGATCGGAGCCCCCGCCGCCGGCCAGCAGGACAACTACCACAATGATAAATGATGAGGAGCGCCAGACCGGCGCCAACACCGACGGCTATCCACATCAAATTGTTCTGGATGAACGGAGGTATTCCGCCTGAAGATCCCGGGGGTTGTTGTTCCGGTTGGGTTGGTTGTTGTTCTTCGGCCACAGTACTTCCTCCATCAAGTTACATGGGCGTACCTGCTGGTGAATCACCCGCCTGTTTGATTCCGTTCTCTGTTGCCTGCGTGATCAGTTGCCGTTGCGATTCGGTACCTGTCACCGACGACCAGGAACTATGATGATCGAGCGCCGGGGTGTATCTTCTTTAACCGAATATCGCGAGAAGAAATGAACCGAAGACGATCAACATGATCAAGAAGATGAGGAGGGCGATCAAATTGCAAACCAGACCGGCGACTGCCATCCCCACTCCCGTGCCGTTATTGCGACCTTGCACCAAACCCACGAACGATAAGGGCAGTCCCACCAACATGCACGGGACAGTCACTATTATCCCGACGAACGGTATGAAGATGAACACAATGGCGATAATGCCAAGCACCATTCCCGCTACTCCCATGATTCTCCTCCTGTTGTTGTTAAGGGATTAGCCAGACGCCAGAACATGTGCGTCCGCCAACTGAGCCCCGAGTCAAGCCGTGCTTAAGTTACGGCTTTAACAGCGTAGGTTAGGAAAGAAGGCAGCGTTGCTTCCCAGCCAAGGATTTGCATATCTCTCCATGCCAATCCCGTTTCATCATATTTGATGAAATTGCGCATAAGATATTATCCGCGATGCCATAGTCTATTTACGGTACTATTCGCTGTCAAGTTATCTCGAATGCCAGAAAATTGCGTTTACGGCGACATCCGATATTGATAAAAATCGGTAATGGCGATTCGACCAACCTTTTGCGTAATCAGTTTCTACACAATGAATATTCCCGTGTGTCGGTCCGGATGTCAGGTTACGTCTGCAACTATCCACGCCGTAAATCATGATCCCGGTTGACACCCGCCGTGCTCCGGGTTACATTGTGGGCGCGACAACTTCGCAACTCTTTAACAACTGACTCCAAGGCACCGGGCGCCAAAAAATCCTTATCGGGCTTAATAGGGAAGGCGGTTTGACTCCGCCGCGGTTGCGCCACTGTAATCGGGGAGCCTACCGACGTAAACCACTGCTGGCGTTCGCCTATGTCCACCGGCGGGAAGGGGTTCGGAAGGCCGAGAACCGAAAGTCAGGAGACCTACCCGGTGTTGCTCTGGAACTCTACTCTGCGCCCAACAGGGTTGTTTCCGTGCGGCATCGTATGCAATACCACATCATCTGGTTGATGCTGAACGCTCCCGCAACTCGAAACCCCGACCCTGGCAGCCTCGGCGCTCCAGGGTCTAAAATTTTAGTATCGGATCTGAAATATCCCCAATGAGCACAACTAACTCCGGCATAAAAATGACTGTGGTGGCCGTCGGTCCCGGCGACCCCGACATGCTCACCCTGAAGGGTCGCCAGGCCCTGAACAGGCTGACGTGGTCGTAGGATTCAAGACCGTGCTGGACGTGGTGGACGGCCGTACTGGCAACGCCGACGTGCGCCCAATGGCTTACCGAGACCAGGAGGCAGTGCTGGATTACGCGCAGGAGCAGGCCCAACTAGGCAAATCATGCGTGGTGTGCGTTTGGGGCGACCTGAACGTGTCAGCCAAGGAATTGCTGAATCGCGTGCGACGTCGCGCTGAGACCGTCGAACTGATTCCGGGAGTTAGCAGCATTCAAATAGCCTGTGCTCGGGCCGGCATATCTCTGGAAGAGTCGGTGTTTATCACCCTGCACCAGCGATGGGATCGTGGGTCGGAATTGTCCGAATTGGTAGAGTTGATGAACCAGGGAAGGCGTAATGTCATCCTATTACCGCGGCCATACGATTTCATGCCACCCGCCATCGCTGCCGGAGCCGTTGCGGACGGGGCAGACCCTGAACATCCCGTTACGGGTTTTCCAGCGTCTCACCCTGCCCGATGAGCAGCGCTGGGACGGTACGTTGGCCGAATGCTCACAGTTGCCTGACGACTTCAGCGATTTGTCCATAATGGTGTTCCCGCGATCCGACGAGCCGGACAACTGACACATGACTACTGCAGGTCTAACAACGCCCGCCACGCTGGTCCTGGTAACCACGGCGGATACCGACATCCTCACCGCGGAGCGCGCTCTGGTCGGAATGCCCTGGGGAGATTCGGTGCAGGTGTATGCCTGCAATCCGGTGTCGCTGGAAGGCGACAGCGAGGCGGCAACATCCGCGCGTTCCGAATTAATGGACGCGGTGGGCCGGGCATCGGTCGTGGTCCTCCGGCTCCTGGGCGGCAAGCGCGCTCTTGGAGACACGTTCGACGCACTGGTCAGCGTTTGCGGTTCCCGCAGAGTCCCCGTCATCGCATGTCCGGGCCACCAGGAATGGGATGAGGACCTGGTTACCGCCTGTACGGCGCCGGTTGCCGAGGTGGAAACGGTTTTTGCCTACCTGATGCGTGGCGGCGTCCTGAATTTCCGCAACCTGTTTCTGTTCCTGTCCGATGCCTATTTGGGCTCCGACTACGGGCACGAGGCTCCGGCTCCAATGCCCTGGCAGGGTATCTATCATCCGGAGGTGGCCGAAGGTTCGGAGATCGACCAGTACGTTGCCCAAAGGTACGAAAACGGCCGGCCGGCCATCGGCGTCCTGTTTTACCGCGCGCATTGGATGAGCGGAAACCTGGCTTTCATTGATGAGCTCATCCATCGTCTGGAGTCGCAGCATGTCAACGTATTGCCGGTATATTCTTATAGTCTCAAGCACACACCGGAAGACGACGACGCAGAACACAGCCAGACCTTGACCGACTACATGGTCGACGCTGAGGGAATCCCACGGGTCGATTGCATTATCAACACGATGGGATTGGCGATGAGCGATCTGGATCACCAGCAGGGCGGCACGGGTGCAACCGTCGCCACCGGCTGGTCGCAGGCGCTGCTGGATCAGCTGGACCTGCCGATCATTCAGGCCATCGTCAGCACCGGAAGCAGGGAAGATTGGGAAAAAAGTTCGCTGGGGTTGGGCCCAGTGGACACCGCCATGAACGTGGCTTTTCCCGAGTTTGACGGGCGGATCATCGCCGTTCCGGTGTCGTTCAAAGAAGAGACTCCGCCGGAAGGCGGTTCCCTTTCCGCCGGGCGGATGCAGCGCTACGTGGCCCAAGACGACCGTATGGACTACGTGGCCCGGTTGGCAGTGCGGCACGCTACCCTCCGGCGCAAATCCAACGCAGACAAGCGCATCGCAATCATCCTAAGCAACTATCCGACCAAGGATGCCCGCATTGGCAACGCCGTGGGCCTGGACACACCGGCCTCGGCGATCAACATACTGAACGCTCTGCAACGCGCTGGCTACCACGTTGAAGACGTGCCCGCTGACGGCGATGAACTGGTGCATCGCATAATCGAGCGTTGCAGCAACGACACCGATACCCTCACCGAGGAGCAGTTGCGTTTGGCGGCCGGGCACGTGGAACGACGTGCCTACGCCGAATGGTACTCGCGCTTCTCGGAGACTGTTCAGGACCAGTTGCTGGAAGCCTGGGGCGAGGCTCCGGGTCAGGTGTACCGGATCGGCGACAGGCTGGCTATCGCCGGCGTACCGATGGGTAATGTTTTCGTCGGTCTGCAGCCTCCGCGGGGCTTCGGCGAGAACCCCATCTCGATTTACCACAACCCGGACCTCACGCCTACCCACCATTACCTGGCCTATTACCGGTGGATTCGCGACGTATTCAAGGCCGATGCGATGATCCACATCGGCAAGCACGGAACGCTGGAATGGTTGCCCGGCAAGGGCGTTGGCCTATCCCGGTCCTGTTATCCCGAGGTTGCCCTCGACGACATACCGCTGTTCTACCCCTTTATCGTCAATAACCCCGGCGAGGGAACTCAGGCCAAACGACGCACGCACGCCACCATCGTTGATCACCTGATTCCGCCCATGACCACCGCCGATGCCTACGGTGACATAGCAAAGCTCGAACAACTGATGGACGAGCACTACCAATGTCAAACCCTAGACCCGGCCAAGCTCCCAACCCTGGAATCGCAAATCTGGGAGATGGTTCAGCAGGCCGAATTGCATCGTGATTTGGGGGTGGACGCACAACCCGACGACTTCGCCAATTTCATGCTGGAGATCGACGGATACCTGTGCGAGATCAAGGATGCTCAGATCAAGGATGGCCTGCATACTTTGGGTGTGCCGCCCACGTCCGACCAGATGATCGGCCTGTTGTGCGCCCTCACGCGGTTGGATAACGGAGCAGTACCCGGTTTGCGCCGGAGCATGGCCGAGGCGCTGGGCTTTGATTATCACGCGCTGCTGGACAATCCGGCTGCGGCGGTCAATGGGAATACGCCGACCGTGTTGGGTTCGGCTGCCGATGGTTCGCCCATTCGCAACGCCGGCGACGTTATCGAGGCGCTGGAAGCCATGTGCCGCCGAGCCTACGAACGTCTGTGCCCCAATGGGTTCGCTGCCGATGAAATCGCCGCGCTCGTGCCCGAGTTGCTGGGTAAAATGGACGGCCAGACCGCCGGCGTCCTGGAGTATGTGGGCCGACACATTCATCCCGCACTGCTCCGCACCACGGACGAAATCGATAACCTCCTGAGGGGACTGGACGGGCGCTTCGTGCCCGCTGGCCCTTCCGGGGCGCCCACCCGTGGAATGGTTAACGTTTTGCCCACCGGACGCAATTTCTACTCGGTGGACCCAAGGGCTCTGCCGTCGCCCACGGCCTGGGATGTGGGTAAGGCGCTCGGCGACGCTTTGTTGCAGAAATATCTCGATGAAGAGGGCGGATACCCTGAGATGGTTGGAATCATCGTCTGGGGCACCTCGGCCATGCGCACCCACGGCGATGATATCGCTCAAATCCTGTATCTGCTGGGTGTCAAACCGGTGTGGCAGGCGGAAAGCCGCAGAATCAACGGCCTGGAAATTATCCCCATGTCCGAGTTGGGCCGCCCGCGCATCGACGTAACCGTCCGTATCAGCGGTTTCTTCAGGGATGCGTTCCCCAACCTTATCTATCTGATGGACCAGGCCGTGGCAATGGTCGCCGCCCAGGACGAATCACCCGAGGACAATTACATCGTCAAGCACGTTCGGGAAGATGCTGAACTCAAAGCCGCATCGGGATCAGGCGACGATGAAACCCACAGTGATGGAGACGCTTCACTCTTCCGTATATTCGGCAGCAAGCCGGGGGCTTACGGCGCCGGCATCCTGGGTGTGATCGACGAACGCAACTGGGAATCGGTTCACGATCTGGCCGAGGTCTATACCGCCTGGGGTGGGTACGCATATTCCCGCCAGGATTTCGGCGTCACCGCGCGCAACGAATTTCGCGCCAGATTCAGCCAGATTGTAATTGCCGCCAAAAATCAGGATAATCGGGAGCACGATGTATTCGACAGCGACGACTACATGCAATACCACGGCGGCATGATCGCTACGGTTCGGTCTCTCACGGGCCGCAATCCTCGCCAGTTCTTCGGCGACAACAGCGATCCGTCCCGCCCCCGGGTTCGCGATCTACAGGATGAAGCGCGGCGAGTGTTCCGCAGTCGGGTCGTCAATCCCAAGTGGATGCAGTCGATGCAGCGTCACGGATACAAGGGAGCCTTCGAATTGGCGGCCACCGTTGACTATATGTTCGGTTACGACGCGACGGCGCAGGTCGTCGAGGACTGGATGTATGAGGACGTTACCGAAGAATACGTCCTGAATCCCGAGATGCAGGAATTCTTCCGGCAGAGCAATCCGTGGGCGCTGCGGGGGATCGTCGAACGGCTGTTGGAAGCTATCCAGCGTGGTATGTGGGAAAACCCGCCGCCGGAGATGCTGGAAAAACTGCGGGAGATGTATCTGGAACTGGAGACCGACATCGAAGCGCGCCAGGAGAGTGGAACCAGGCAGTAGGCGACGGCCTACGGTCAGGAGGATGTTTCGTATGGAAAACACGTTGGGTTTGTTGCAGGAATTGGCCAGGGATCCCAAGATGATGTGGGTCGTGGGCGGTGGTTCGGTGGTTAGCGAAAACCACGCTGACGGTATCCAGGAGCCCGAAGTTCACAACGGATGGGCCACTGTTGAAGCGGACACTGGCACTTCCACCTGCAGCTGGAGCAAATTGATGGGATCCAGTTCGTAGAGGCGATGAGCCACGGCGACCTGAAGTCCTACTATGTACGGTTCTCAAAGAATTGGGAAGAAACGCTGGTGCGTTGCTACTTTCCCAATCCTCACCTAGACGACGACGAAAAACGCACCGACATGCAACCGGAAAAACTCCAGGCCTTCGAAGAGGCTCGGGACCGGTGGGTAGGCAAAGAAGAGAACCTTATTTTCGTACAGCGCTAATGGCATGGCAATTATCGTTTACACGATTGAGCTCATGTTGTGAAACTGCTGACGAAGTCGTACAATAAGCAGCCGTCGTGCTGCGAAGCAAAATGCCCGCGAGGGCGAGAGGAGCAAGAATAATGGCAATCATCAATCGATTCCTGTCCACGACTAACACTGCCGCCTGGGCCCCTTGGCTGGTAGTTGGTGCAATGGCGCTCTACATCGTCGGGTACGTCGATGGTGGCGTGCATGCCGCAGCGATAGGTTCGCCCGGCATCCTTGGTTCCGTGCACGAATTCTTCCATCACGCCCGCCACGTCGCCTTTATGTGCCATTAGTCGTCACCCGACCCGGCGTAGTAATACGCCGGGTTTGTGACCAAGGCTGGGTTTCACGCGTTGACGCTCAACAGGGCGTCAGGAGGAGACCTGTGAATCCAACCCCGATCTGTTTACGCGGTTCAGGCACTCGGATTGTTCCGATGGTCGGAATACGGCAGTTTTCAGCATCATAGGAGTTGCAGAATGGAACGGATCCTCCCGACCGCCCTGGTCATGGGCGTCATAATTGGTCTTGTGGTCGCGGCCTACATGAACATTTTTAATGTTCCGGTGATCGAATGGGCCATTGACCTCGAAGGCAAAGCCGCCGCCAATGGCGAAGAGGACGAATCGCAACTTCCGCTGAGCGCTCTAACAGGCCTTGGCGGCCAACGCGTGGGCATGACCCTCGGTCTGGCGGTTGTTGGGGTCCTGTTCGGCGCGGTGTTTTCCGGCTTGTATCACCTGATGCGGTGGGCTACCCCCGGGTGGAGTCCATGGGCGTGGGGCGCGATCGCCGGTTTCCTCGGATTTTGGGCCGTCTCCATGTATACGCAGATCAAGTTCCCGCTCAATCCGCCCGGTGTCGGAGACGAATCCACCCTGTTGGCACGGCAGGGTTTTCAGTTCCTCTTCATTTTCGTGTCAACCGCATCCGTGGCGTTGGTTATCTATGGCGCGGGGCTTGTGAACCGCAACGCAAGCGGCGGGGCGCGGTGGTTCCGGTACGCCCGGTATCGGCATTGCCTATTCGGTCGTGGCGCTGGTGTTGGCTTTTGCCATCCCCGGAGTGCGCGATGCAGCCCCGGACTGGTTGCCACAGGAATTGACAATTTTGTTCCGCAGTTTCACCGCCGTCGGTCATCTCCTGTTGTGGATGGGCATCGCGCTGGCCACCGTCGGATACCGCCGGTATCAGGAGCGGAATATTCATGCGTTTCGCAACTCCGCCGCCGCGACCAGCTAATCATCCACCCGTGCGTTAATCGAGGTTTCGCTTGATACAGCCAGACACCTCCCGCGAACCGCGATTTCCTTTCACGGCCATCGTCGGCCAGCGGTCGATGAAACGGGCCCTGTTGCTTAACGCTATCAATCCCCGCATTGGCGGCGTGTTGATTCGGGGCAAAAAGGGGACCGCCAAGAGCACCGCCGTTCGTTCGTTGGCGGCCTTGTTGCCCGAAGTGCCGGTGGTTACCGGGTGTCAATTTAGTTGCCTGCCCAACGCTCCCCAACCGGTTTGTCAGTGGTGCCAGCAGGAAGCCGGCGGCGCGGGCCTCGCCGCACTGCGGCAGGTACGTATCGTGGACCTGCCCGTTGGCGCTACTGAAGACCGCCTGGTGGGTTCGTTGGACATCGAGCAGGCCATCAAAACCGGCGAGAAGAATTTCGAACCGGGCCTGATCGCGGTGGCCCACCGAGGTATTCTCTACATCGACGAGGTCAACCTGCTCAATGACCACCTGGTGGACGTATTGCTGGACGCCGCCGCGTTGGGACGCAACTACGTAGAGCGGGAGGGCGTGTCGGTCAGCCACGAAGCCGAATTCATGCTGGTGGGCACGATGAACCCAGAGGAGGGAGACCTGCGCCCGCAGCTGCTGGACCGATTCGGCCTGGCCGTGGAAGTGGATGGCGTGTTCGAGCCCGCCGAACGGCGGGAAGTCGTGCGCCGCCGCATCGCCTATGAAGCCGAACCCTTCGGATTCATGGATGGTTGGGATGAGGCGGAGCAACTGGAACGTTCTCGCATCATCCGCAGCCAGGAGCGGTTGCCGTCGGTGGTAGTCCCGGATGAAATCCTGGAACTCATCACCGATATCTGCGCCGAGTATCAGGTGGACGGCCTCCGGGGCGACATCGTGATGTACAAAACCGCCAGCACCATTGCCGCTTACGAAGGCCGCACCGTGGTGGAGGTCGAAGACGTGCGGGAAGCGGCGTTGATGGCATTGTTGCACCGCCAGCGGCGTCTGCCGTTCCAGCAGCCTCACCTGGTTACCGAACAACTGGATAACATGCTGGAAGAGTTCCAGAATCAGGCGCGGGACCGGGAATCTTCCGACGGCGGTGATTCCGGCGACGATGACCGTAACGACGGCGAAAGCGATAGAAGTCCCGAAACCCCCGAACTCGATCCTCCCGATGATGCTGACGAACCCGATGCCGAGCAACCGGACGCCACGGCGGGCGGCGACGAATGGTTCGAGGTAGGCGACCCCTACGCAGTCCAGAACCTGCAGGTGCAACCCCCGGACCGTCGCGCGCGGCGAGGAGCGGGCCGCCGGGCCACCACGATTAGCGGCGATTCTTCCGGTCGCTACATTGGTTCCCGCGAGCCTCCGGGTCCGGTTACCGATCTGGCATTGGACGCAACTCTACGCATGGCCGCTCCTCACCAACGAACCCGCCGGGAAACTGCCGGGCCAGACGCGGCAACTCTGCTCATCGAGCCGTGGGACATTCGGGAGAAAGTGCGCGAAACCCACACCGGCAGTTTGATCCTGTTCGTGGCTGATGCCAGCGGCTCCATGGGCGCCCAGCGCCGCATGGTAGCGGTGAAGGGCGCGGTGATGTCGCTTCTGATGGATGCTTACCAGCGGCGTGATCGTGTTGGGTTGATCGCCTTTCGCGGTACTTCCGCTCACTTGCTGTTGCCCCCCACCGGCAGCGTCGAAATGGCCCAATGGCAGTTGCAGGATATGCCCACCGGCGGACGCACACCGTTGGCCCACGGACTTTACCTGGCGATGGAAACACTGGAACGGGAGCGATTGAAAGATCGGGACGTACTCCCGTTGCTCATATTGTTGTCCGACGGACGGGCCAACGTGAACCTGGCCGGCGAACAGCGCAGCTCGGGGCGATCGGTTTCGGACGAGGTGAAGGGTCTGGCAACCACGGTTGCAGAGGCCAGAATTCCCGCCGTCGTGATCGATACCGAGCAGGGCTTCATCAAGCTGGAGTTGGCCAAAGACATCGCCGAAGCCATGTCCGCCCGATACATCAAGCTGGACGATTTGGCTGCCGACCACATTGCCAACGCCGCCCGCGACGAGTTCCCCGCCCAGGGCCTGGCAGACCCTGTGATAACATAAATCTGGCCCGGAAACGCCGACGACAATCGTCGGCAATCTAACTGCCGTACCAAGGAGCAACATGCCGCGGACGTTGCCTTACCCCGATATGGATAAAATTCTGTCGTTGTCCAAACGACGGGGTTTCGTGTTCCAGTCCAGCGAGGTCACGGCGGGTTGGGTTCCACCTGGGACTATGGTCCGCTGGGGGTCGAACTCAAGCGCAACGTCAAAGAAGCGTGGTGGCGCGCGGTCGTTGTGGAGCGGGACGATGTTGTGGGATTGGATGCGGCCATCCTGATGCACCCTCGCGTCTGGGAAGCCAGCGGCCACGTCGAGAATTTTTCCGATCCATTGGTGGAATGTCGCCAGTGCCATCACCGCTTCCGGGAAGACCAGCTGGAAACCAACCGCTGCCCGGAGTGCAACGGTGAGTTGACCGAGCCACGGCGATTTAATCTGATGTTCCGCACGTTCATGGGGCCGGTGGAAGACTCCGGCAGCGAGATATATTTGCGACCCGAAACTGCCCAGGGCATCTTCGTCAACTTCCAGAACGTGCAAACAGCCACCCGTAAAAAGCTGCCGTTCGGGATCGGCCAGATTGGAAAGGCCTTTCGCAATGAGATTACCCCGGGCAACTTCACTTTCCGAACCAGAGAATTCGAGCAGATGGAGGTGGAGTTCTTCGTAGAACCCGGCTCCGACGAGGACTGGCTGCAGCGCTGGGTGCAGGATCGGTTCAACTGGTATGTAGGCTACGGTATCCGCGCCGAGAACCTGCGCCTTCGGGAACACGCCAGCGACGAACTGGCCCACTACGCCAAGGCTACTTTCGATATTGAATACCGCTTCCCCTGGGGCTGGGGTGAACTGGAAGGTATCGCCAACCGAGCCGATTTCGACCTCGGTCGCCACACCGAGTTCAGCGGTCAGGACCTGTCATACTTTGACGACGCAACCCGTGAGAGATACCTCCCTTACGTTATCGAACCCTCCGGTGGAGTGGATCGGGCCACGCTGGCTTTTTTTGGCTCGACAGCTACGACGAAGAACCGGACGGCAACGATACCCGAACCGTCCTGCACCTGCATCGCGCGTTGGCTCCGGTAACCGTCGCGGTGTTGCCCCTGAGCCGGAACGAACGGCTGGCCCCTACCGCCCGCAGAGTGTACGACCTGGTGCGCCGCCGCTTTGCCTGCCAGTTCGACGACGCCCAGAGCATCGGGCGACGCTACCGTCGCCAGGACGAAATCGGCACACCCTATTGCGTTACGGTCGACTTCGACACCATCGACGACCAGGCGGTGACCATCCGCGATCGCGACACGATGGCCCAACAACGGGTGCCCGTCAGTCGATTGCTGGAGGTCCTGCACGACCGATTCGAACATGGTTGGTAACGGAATTCCGGGGGATTGATTCCATGCCGCCAAGCGTGGTTGCTGAGGTTCTTCGCCGCGGTTTGTACACCCGCATCATCGGGCGACGTATCCGCTTCTACCAGGCAACCGGCTCAACGATGGATGACGCCGGTCAGTTGGCCCGCAACGGCGCCGACGCCGGCCTGGTGGTCGTCGCCGAAACCCAAAGCGCCAGTCGTGGCCGGTTGGTCGCCGCTGGATATCTCAGGCAGGCAACCTGTATTTCTCGGTACTGTTGTATCCGGATACCAACACCCTTACCCTTCTCAATCCGCTGGCCGGCGTGGCCGTCGCAAGAGCGATTCGTCAGGTAGTTGGCCCGATGCCTGCCATCAAGTGGCCTAATGACATAATGATAGAGGGCCGCAAAGTGGCTGGCATCCTGGCCGAGACCGCGGTCGCCGGCTCTCAAATTCAACACGCCATAATCGGCATCGGCATCAACGTGACGATGGACGTGTCGGAAGATGCCGAAATCGCGGACACTGCGGGCAGCCTGAACCAATACGCAGACGGCGAAGTCGACCGCGCCGAGTTGTTGCGGCGAATCCTGCAGCACATGGACGCATTGTACCTGGATATTCTAAGAGGGCGCTCGCCCATACCCGAGTGGCGCCGGTGGCTGGACACTTTGGGTCAACGTGTCGTGGTTTCTCATGGCAACTTATCTGAGTGCGGCGTGGCCGAGGACATCGACGAGTCTGGCAACCTGCTGTTGCGTACCGACGACGGCAGCCTGTTGACCCTGACCGCCGGAGACATTACCCTGCGACCGGCCCTGATCACCGAATCCGCAACCCCCACCGCAGGAGGATAGACCACCCATGCTGGAGAATTTAAACCTGGATGGCAAGGTGGTGGTCATAACGGGCGGAGGCACGGGACTGGGTTTGGAGATGGTGCGCGCCCTGACGCGGTCTGGCGCCAACCTGGCCATCGCCGGCAGAAGGCCCGGCCCCATCGAAGCTGCCCGCGACGAAGTGCTTGCTGCCGGCCAGGATGCGATTGCCGTCCCTACCGACGTTTCGAAATCGTCAGAAGTGAACGCACTTGTCGAAACTGCGGTGGGCCATTTCGGGCGCATAGATGTACTCATCAATAACGCCGCGATGGTGGCCGAAAACGTCCTGAAACCCATTTGGGAAATCACCGACGACGAATGGGAAACCGCCATGACCATCAATCTGTCCGGCGCTTTCTACTGTGCTCGGGCGGCGGCAAAACCCATGGCAGATGCCGGGAAAGGCAAAATCGTTAACGTAGCATCCGGATTCGGCCTGCGCGGTGGCCGGGACATTTACATGTACTGCTGTTCCAAGGGTGGCGTTATTCAACTCACCAGGGTGTTGTCTTTTAGCCTGGCGCGGCACGGCATAACCGCCAACAGCATTGTGCCGGGATTCATTCCTACCATCGACCCCGGCGCCGCGATCAACCGCACCCTGCCGCAGTCTGGAGATTTTCTCCCTTCCGGTAAACTGGGACGCGCTGAAGAGCTGGGGCCAATCGCGGTATTCCTGTCCTCCGATGCCTCCGACTACATGACTGGCGAAATGTTCATCCTCGACGGGGGTGGGTTGGCGGCGGGCATCGCCCCAACCGGGCACGCCCCGTTGGCGCCCCTGGAAATCTAGGAGACTGATGGCACTGCCTGTTGAATATGACCTGACCGGACGCACGGCCATCGTCGCCAGCGCCGGGGGCAACGAAACGCCCCATCTGGCGGCTGCCCTGGCCGAGGCCGGCGCCAATGTGTTTGCCGTGGCTCGACGTCAGGAAGCCCTAGACGCAATATGCCAACAGGTGGAGTCTTCGGTTGGTGGCAGCACGCACGGCTACGCCGGGTCATGGGATTCTCCCGGCCGGGTTGCTGGGCTGACTGCCGCGTTCTATGCCCACCACGACCGGGCCGACATCCTGGTGAACGACACGCGCAGTTTTTTCGCCAAGCCCGCAGAGGATATTACGGTTGACGAATGGGACGAACTGCATCGCCGCAACGTTCGGGCAACGTTTTTGCTGTGTCAGGCAGTGGGACGGCAAATGCTGTCCCAGCGATACGGTCGGATCGTCAACGTGATTTCCAGCCTGGCCGAGCGCGGCATCCACAACTGCTCGGCCTTCAGCGCCACCCAGTCGGCGGTACTGTCACTGACCCGTTCGTTGGCCGTGGAATGGGGACGCAGCGAGATCAGAGTCAATGCCATCGGCTCCGGTTGGTCCACCGCAGAAGACATACCGCTGGAGACACAACTTGAAGAATTGCTGGTGCGGTACACACCCTTGCGTCGTAAGGGACACCCGCGAGACCTGGCGGCTTTGCTGGTATTCCTGTGTTCCGAGTACTGTGACTACCCAACCGGCCAACCTATCTACATTGATGGCGGGTTAAACGCTCATCCCTGATCGGGTCCAGCCTGGAACGCCGGGTATCCGGTGGTGATACAAATATTTGGCGATGTCGTCCGCTAACTTTTCGTCCAGTCCAATCACGCCCGTTGGCCGGCTCCCGGGTATGCGGGACCTGGGTTCCCATGCCAGTCGGGGTAAGCAGTCGGTGCAATCCCGGCTCAACGAATTGATCGGCGGTTACGGCTACGGTGTGCTTGAAGTGCCTGTCCTGGAAGCCACTGAGTTGTTTTTGAGGAAATCCGGCGGCGCACTGGCCTCCCAGATGTATTCGTTCACCGACCCCGGTTCCAATTCGGTGAGCCTGCGTCCGGAATTCACTTCAGCCATCATGCGTCACTACCTGGAAACTACATCCGGCGCTGCGACCGATTCGGTAAAACGGTGGCAATACGCTGGCCCGGTTTTCCGGTACGATCCCGACAATGTTGCCAGTAACGGACAGTTCACCCAGGTTGGCGCTGAGCTTATCGGATCGCGCAGCACGTTGGCGGACGCCGAACTGCTGTCTCTGGCTGCGGGTGTGCCGGCTACCCTGGGTATCGCCGATTACCGTGTGCGCGTGGCCGACCTGGACGTATTGGATGGTGTGCTGGATACGGTGGGCCTGTCGGACCGCGCCCGTTCGTTTATAGTCGCCAACATGAACCGCATCAGTAGCAACCAGTCTACGATGTCAGCCATCCTGCAACGGGCTGCCGAACTGCATATCGCATCGGGACGCGATGTGTTGCCGGAAGAAAAACGACCTGGCCGACGCGGTTTCCGGCCTCCCCGATGATGAAGCCCGCGACGTGCTGGCCGGCTTTATGCGCTGGAACGGTGCGTCGGGCGCCCCCATCGGGCAACGGTCGTCGGACGAAATTGTCGACCGTCTCCTGCGCAAACTGCGCGGTGGCGACGACCCCGACACCGTCGAGCGGGGATTGACTCTCGCAGCTCGTTTGGCCGCAATTGACGGCGACCCCGCCGACGCCATCCTACGGGCCCGTTCCATCGTCGTTTCAGCGGGAGGCGACACTTCCGCCATCGACCGGCTTACCGACCTGGTGAATCTGGTGGACGACGAACCCTCACTGAAGGGGCACCTGCAAATCGATTTTTCGTTGGCCCGCGGCATTGCCTACTACAACGGCATAATATTCGACATCGTGTATGGCGTGGGCGCCACGAACCTGGGGGGAGGCGGTCGATACGATTCGTTATCCCGTGCCCTTGGCGGGCCCGACACGGTTCCAGCCCTGGGTTTCGCATACACCCTGGAATCGTTGCTTAAGGTCATGCCGGCCGACGACCCTGCCGTCGCAATGCCGCAGCCGGGTAATCGTCGCTCCCGCAGGATCAGACGAATACGTAGCTGCATTGCGCGCTGCCAGAGAAATCCGCATCAAGGGGGGTGTTGCGATCCTTGACGTTTCGGGCAAAGGCAATCCCGGCGGCATCGCTTCCGACTCCGTAATTGTAAGGGAATTGGCATCCGAAGGCCGAAGCCAGTAGACTTCGGCAGGCAGGTGGTGAAGTGAGACTGGTCATTCCCAGCGACGGTGAAATTGGGCGACTCCACGCTCAATTTCCTGTCAGCTTGCGGCGTTAAGGTTAGCCGGCCCAACGCCCGGCGATACACCGGCTCCCTGCCGTCGTTGCCCGGGATCGATGTTCTGTTCCAGCGCACTGCCGACATCACCGACAAGGTGGAGGAAGGCAGCGCCGAAATGGGAATCACCGGTTTGGACCGGTTGATGGAATATCGGCACGATGAAGGCGCCGTCATCGCCGTGCTGGACGATCTGGAATATGGCCGGTGTGAGTATGTCCTTGCGGTGCCCGATTCCTGGTTGGACGTTACTTCAGTGGACGATCTGGCCGATTTGGCGCTGGAATTCCACGAACGTGGTCGGCAGCTGCGCATCGCCACCAAGTACCCCACACTGCTGAGGAGATACCTGTTCGAACGCGGGATTAATTTCTTCACCCTGGTTCCAGCCAGCGGAACTCTAGAGGCAGCCCCCATCGCCGGATACGCCGACCTTATTGCCGATCTGACCGCCACTGGCACAACGTTACGTGAAAACCGCTTGAAAACGTTGGAAGGTGGCACCATACTGGTATCGCAGGCTTGCCTGATAGCCAATCCCTGCACGTTGTCTCGTAATTCCGACGACTTGAGACTCGCGCAGGCGCTAACCGAAACCCTGGAAGCCCACTTGCGCGCCGAACCTTACTACCGCATCACTGCCAACGTGCAGGGGCGTACCGCCGAGGATGTCAGCACCATGATCCTGGCGCGCCCCGATATTGCCGGTATTCGCGGTCCTACGGTGGCGCGCGTGTTCAGTGTGCGGGAAGAAGATTGGTACGCCGTGTCGTTGTTGATACGCAAAGATCGCCTGTTGGACGCGGTGGCTCACCTGCGCGAATGTGGAGGCGTCGACATCGCTGCGGCCCAGCTCTCATACCTGTTCAAAGGCGAATCTCGCGCCTTCGGCCAATTCATGGATGTGGTGCAGGCGGTTAATGGGAGACAACTCAACGATGCCTAATTTGCCGATGCACATTTACCTGTGTCAGCAGGTCGCCGAGGAGCTGGATTGGGGTTACGCATTCGACCACGCCGGCGCAGCCTACCTCGGCTCAACCACGCCGGACATACGCGCGATGACCAAATGGGATCGCGCCCGCACCCATTTTTCAGATCTTACGGTCAGCGAGGTTGGAGCCGGTGTGCGGCGAATGTTTACCGAACACCCGCGGCTGGCTGGATCGGACAATGCGCTTACCCCGAACACCAGGGCGTTTTTGTTGGGATATGTCAGCCACCTGGTGGCTGACGAGGTTTGGATCACGACCGTGTTCCGTCCCCATTTTGGCAACGACGACCGGATTACCGACAGTGAAGTCGAGGCCCATATCTGGGACCGCGCCCTGCAGCTCGACATGGACCAGAGCGTTTTGAATGGCGATGTGGGTTTGTCGGAACACAACGCCGCTATCGCAGCCGTCGAACAGATGCCGGCGCTTAGTTTTCTCGAGGATGAGTTGATCGACGAATGGAAGGGCTGGGTTGCTCGACTGTTGGGTTGGGATTTCACCTGGGAAAGGCTCAAGCGGGCAATGAATCGAATGTACCGCGACAACGAAGAGGTTCAGTTGGTGGTGGATGGGTTTCTATCCGACATGCCGTCCAGCTTGGACCGGGTTTATCAACACATCCCGCGTGAACTGATCGATGCTTACCGCCGGCAGGTTGTCGACGAAACGGTGGTGCAGGCCAGGGAGTATCTCAGTGCGACTTAACCTTGTGCGCGGGTTGGCAGCTGCCGACTCCGTCCTCCACCGGGTCGACCCTTTGGATCTCTCGACCCTGCCCGACGCCGTGCTGCAGCGAACTCGCCAGGCCTTCGGTCCTGATGCCACTCCGGAATCTGCCGTTTTGCAGATGCTACGCGACGTGCGATCCGACGGCGATTCGGCAATTCGCCGATACGCCCTGCTGTTGGATGGCGCTGAACTGGACTCCTTCCAGATTCCTCAACATGAAATCGACGCCGCCTGGGAATCCACGCCACAGGACCTGAAAAACGCGCTGGAACTGGCGGCGAAGCGGATTACCGAATTCCATCGGGCCACGTTGCCGCGAGACTGGGTGGACCTCCAGGGCGGACTCGGCGAGTTGGTGCGCCCACTGGAACGAGTGGGACTGTACGCCCCCGGCGGTACGGCCGCTTACCCTTCCACCGTGCTGATGACGGCGATCCCGGCGCGGGTTGCCGGAGTGCGCGAAGTGTTGCTGACCACACCGCGTCTGGGCAACGCCCCCCTGAACCCCACGGTTCTGGCGGCGGCGCGCATCGCTGGCGTGGACGCTGTTTTCCAGGTCGGCGGCGTGCCGGCCATTGGAGCGTTCGCTTACGGCACCGAGAGTATTCCCAAGGTGGACAAGATTTGCGGTCCGGGCAACGTGTTCGTCGCTCACGCCAAGCGGATGGTTCAGGGCCACGTTGACATCGACGGCGTGTTCGGCCCTACCGAAACCGTCGTGGTGGCCGACTCTTTCGCCAACCCGATCTTCTGCGCCGCCGATCTCATCGCCCAGGCCGAACACGACCCGATGGCCACCGCAATCCTGGTTACCGACTCCGAATCACTGGTACGCGCGGTGGAGTCGGAGCTGGACGCTCAAATTTCCACCAACCCGCGTGCTGATACCATCCGTCATTCTCTCAAAGCTCAGGGGCAGGTTGTCCTCGTGGACAGTTTTACAGAGGCCATCGAGGTCGCCAACCGGCTGGCGCCCGAGCATCTCTGCCTCATGGTGGCCGATCCCTGGGCTTGGGCTGGCAGCGTCCGCAATGCTGGCGGACTGTTTCTGGGAGAGTACTCGCCGGAAGTCATGGGCGATTACATCGCGGGGCCATCTCATGTCATGCCCACCGGTGGCACGGCGCGTTTCAGCTCAGCTTTGAGCGTTCATCATTTCGTACGCACCATGCCCGTGGTAGGATTGAGCCCCGAACACTTCCGCGACCTGGGTGGCGCCGCCGTGCGCATCGCCGAGGCGGAGGGTTTGCCGGGCCACGCCGGCGCGGTACAGGCCAGGCTGGATCATCTGGCCGCGCCCCGGGCTAAATAAACCGGGGTTGGTTCATAACTCGCCAGGGGATTGTAATCTGATGCCTGATATCGAAGATTTGCTGCTTCCTCACATCCATGAGCTCAAAACCTATCAGGGTGTTTCGCCCAGCGAAACGCTGGCAGAGCAGGCCGGCATCTCGTTGGATAAGGTGATTCGGCTTAACGGCAACGAAAATCCCTACGGCCCTTCCCCGCACGTGGCCGAAGCGTTGGGAAACTTCCGCGACTACAACCATTATCCGGACCCTGCCCAGCGTAACCTGCGGGCAGCGTTGTCCGAATACCTGGGCGTTCCGGATGAAAACATAGTGGCGGGCAACGGCAGCGACGAAATCATCGACCTGCTGATGCGGATGTTCCTTGCTCCGGGAGATGAAATCATCATTCCGGTACCAACATTCGGCATGTATTCCTTTTCCGCCGATGTGGCCGGAGCCAGGGCGATTTCGGTACGCCGCAATGATGATTTCGATATAGACATCGAGGCTATCACGGGGGCGATCACCCCGCGCACCAAGGCTATCTTCTTCCCGAGCCCCAACAACCCCACCGGCAATCTGGTGTCGGAAGCGCAATCTCGGGCGTTGCTGGAAACCGGGTTGCTGGTTGTGGCCGATGAAGCTTACTACGAATTTTGCGGCCAAACTTTGATGCGCCTGCTGCCCGAATATCGGAACCTCGTCGTGTTGAGAACCTTCAGCAAATGGGCTGGCCTGGCTGGCCTGCGTATCGGCGCTGGCGCCATGGATCCCGATCTGGCGGCCACCATGATGGGAATGAAACCGCCGTACAACGTCAATCTTGCCGCCGAAATCGCGTTGCTGGCCTCCCTTGCCGACACCGGCAAGTTGCTGTCTCGCGTAGAATCCATCGTTGCCGAACGATCCCGGCTCTACGAACTGTTGGACGGTATCCCCGGAATTGAACCCTGGCCGTCGCAGGCTAATTTCATCCTTTGCAAGATGCCGGATGGTCGCGGCCTCGATGTTTACGAGGGAATGTGTCGGCGCGGTGTTTTCTTGCGCTACTTCGACAACGATCTGCTGCGGGACTATATCCGGGTCAGCGTTGGCAAACCTGAGGAAACCGATGCAGTAATCTCCGGTTTCAGGGCTGTATTGGGCGTGGATGACTGATGGTGTCCTCCGATAACGCTGCAAGAACCGCGACCCTCGAACGAACCACCGGTGAGACCAATATCTACGTCTCGGTGAATCTGGACGGCCAGGGTCAATATAACGTCGACACCGGCAACGGATTCCTGGACCACATGGTTAGCCAGATATCCAGGCACGGATTGTTCGACATCGAACTGCGCGCCAAGGGGGACACCCATGTCGGCTGGCATCACCTGGTCGAAGACACTGCCATCATGCTGGGCCGGGCCTTCGGGCAGGCGCTGGGTGAACCCCGCGGAATTCGGCGGATGGGTCACGCCATAGTCCCGCTGGACGAAACGCTGGTAATGGTGGCAGTCGATTGGAGTGGTCGCCCCTACGCCACGGTGGATACTACCCTCGATGGCACCATGGTCGAAACGTTGTCGGGAGATCTGGTGGCGCATTTCCTGGAATCATTTGCCGTAGAAGCGCGGATCAACCTTCACGCCAAAGTCCTGGCGGGCGTAAGTCCCCACCACAAGGCCGAGGCATTGTGCAAAGCGCTGGCACGTGCTTTGCGCGACGCCGTCGAGCCCGATCCACGCGCCGGCGGTCAGGTTCCCAGTACTAAAGGCACGCTGGATAGTTGAACCGCAGGGTTGGTAAGACCCTGCGGTTACTTCTCAAGAAGCGCTAGTGCAGCGGCTTATTGCCCGCTAACCGGTCGGCCGCGCCGGGCCAAAAATTCCGGGAATGCTTCTTCCGCCAATGTGCCGCGAAGCACGTTGGTGGTGAAAATCTCTTTCGTTGGCCCACTGTTGTTCCAGGCTTCCGCCCATGTGCTGGAGCAGCAATCGCTTAATGCCGATCACCGATGGAGTGTCGTTGGTGGCGATCTGAGTGGCAATGTCCATCGTTTTTTCGCGCAGGCGATAAACCGGAACCAGGTAGTTGAGCAGGCCAATACGATAAGCCTCTTCTGCTTCCACAACACGGGCTGTGAACAGTAGCTCTTTGGCCTGGGGCCAACCAACCTGATTGGTCAGTGTCCAGGTGGAATTGATGCGCCCATAGGCCGCGGCCAAAAATCGGAAACGCGCCGCGTCGGAACCGATGCGAATGTCCAGCGACGACGACAGTACCGAGCCACCGCCGTAGGCCAGGCCGTTGATCATCCCGATCACCGGCTTGTCCGATGCGCTGACGTCATAGCTGCCCCGCTGGCGACGCGCCGATCGCATGTCCATATCTTCCAGCGCCAAGTTCCCGGCGTTCAGCGCGGCCTGGGTCTTCTCGCTGCTCGTGGATGTCGCCGCCGGCGGAAAACGCCGGCGCCCGGGGCGAAGTGTCGGCGCCGGTGATGACTATGCAACCGATCTCATCGTCCTCGTTTGCGCGGGCAACGGCGTCGTGCAATTCTTCCGTTAGCTGTCGGTTCATTGCATTCAGAACTTCGGGCCTGTTCATCGTTAGAAAAGCAACGTGGCCCACCTTCTCGCGGCGTCGGTCACCACTGCCTTCGAATTTGGATACACGCTCCTTTTCTGACAAAATATACTCGTAATCCATTAATCCTCCTGCAAGCCGTGCAGCCCGCACTGTGATTTGACCGGCTGCACGGCAATTGTATTGGTACACGGCGAATGTAGTCAAACCGCAGTTCCCTATAGCGGATTTGACATACCCCGCGGTGGCCCCGATGATATCAACTGCATGGGTCTGATGAGCATCAATAACTCGTTGATAGCCGACCCGGCGACTAACCTCCGCCGGTCGGTCGTTGCAAGCGTGTGCCTGGGCCTGATTTGCCTGGGCATTTTGGGTTTACTGGCAAGCCACGCTCCCGTCAGCGCCCAGGACGCGCCGGTGTTTCTTCTGAAGATCGAAAAGATCATAAATCCGGTAAAAGCTCGCGTTATCGCCCGCGCGGTTGAGAAGGCCGAAGAAGCCGGCGCTCCCATGCTCCTGATCGAAATCAACACCCCCGGAGGACTCTACGACAGCACCCGCGATATCGTCGGAACGCTTTTGGAGTCAAGTGTGCCGGTGGCGGTTTTCGTATCGCCAAGGGGGTGCCCATGCCGGCTCGGCGGGTACCTACATCACGGCGGCCGCGCACATCGCGGTCATGGCGCCCGGCACCAACATCGGCGCCGCAACTCCGGTTTCCGGTGGCGGAGAGGAATTGCCCGAAACCCTGGCCGACAAGGTCACCAACGACGCTGCTGCCCTGATTCGATCCATCGCCGACGAACGCGGCCGCAACGCCGACGCGCTGGAAGAAACGGTTCGTTCCGCTGCGTCTTTCAGCGCCGCCGAGGCGGTGGAAGCCGGAATTATAGACCTGGTGGCAGACAACATTTCTGATTTGCTGAACGCGGTGGACGGCCTCACGGTGGTCACCGCCGCCGGAGAGCAGCAGCTCGATACTGCCGGCGCCGCCACCGAACGCATCAACCTGCAGTGGCGTGAGCGATTCGTGGATTTTATCGCCAACCCCAACATCGCATTCCTGTTATTGAGCCTGGGCGGGTTGGGCATCGTGTTCGAGATGATGACCCCCGGAACCATCGGCCCCGGCGTGGCTGGCGCCATCTTGCTGCTCCTCGCTTTCCTTGCGTTGGGTAACCTGCCGTTCAACTGGGCCGGCATCGTGTTCATCGCCCTGGCCGGCGTGTTGGCGCTGCTGGAGGTGTTTATATCCGGATTCGGGGCCTTGGGCGTCGGAGCCGTGGTCAGCCTTGTCGTCGGTGGACTTCTGCTGTTTGGCGGGTTGGGCAGCTTTGGCGGCATACCGGCGAACTTCCCGGACTTGTCGGTAAGTTTGTGGGTGCTGGGCAGCGTGGGCGGAATTCTGGCGCTCAGCGCTGGCTACATCGCCTTTGAGGCGGTTCGGTCGCGCCGGGGTAATGCAGTAGCGGGTTCGGCGCCGGCCGTTGGCGACAGCGACGGGCGCAGCGAGGCAGGTCATCTCATCGGGCAAACCGGTGTGGTAACATCAGCGTTAGAACCAAGGGGGATCATCGCTTTGAATGACGAAACTTGGTCTGCCATGAGCACCGAGAGAATATATGTACCGGTCGGGCGCCCAGTGCGGGTTGTAGGTTCCGACGGTCTGATTGTAATGGTCGAGGAGATTGGCGGTGCGGGGGTGCCCGAAGGTCAGGAATAACGATAGAGACGCCACCAAATTCTGCTCGCGCATCGCGGGCTAGGAGACACAATTATGGCCACCGGAATCGTAATCGTTCAACAATACCAGCGCATGGTGGTGCAGCGTTTCGGCACTTACATCGGAAACAAAAGTCCGGGCATACACCTGTTGATTCCGTTCCTTTACCAAGGCACCAAGGTGGACCTCCGCGAACGCGTAACGCGGGTTCCCACCCAGAAATACATCACCGTGGATAACGTGGTGGTAGACATGGACTTCGTAATCTACTACCGGGTGATGGAAGATCAGGTGGACCGGGCGGTGCTGGAGGTACAAAACTTCGAGCAGGCCGTTATCAACCTGGCCTTTGCCACCCTGCGTGCCGTCATCGGAGCCATTGAACTGGCCACCGCGCTGTCGGAACGCGAACGCATCCGTGACGAAGTTCAACTGCGGATGGACGAGGTGACCAGCCGGTGGGGCGTCAAGGTTTCTCAGGTCGAGATCAACGAGGTTGACCCGGCCCAGGGCGTGAAAGCTGCGATGGAACGCCAGAAATCTGCCGAAGGCATTAAAACCGCTGAGATCACCGAGTCAGAAGGTCAGCGGCAGGCCCAGATCAACCGCGCCGAGGGTGAAAAGCAGTCTGCCATCCTGCAGGCAGAAGGTCTGCGGCAGGCGGACATTTTGCAGGCCCAAGGTGAACAGCAGGCCACTGTGCTGCGCGCCGACGGGTTCAGCGCCGCACTGGAACGCATCTATAATGTAGCCAGAACCGTCGATGCCCGCACCATGAGCCTGCAATATTTCGACACGCTGAAGTCCCTGGGCTCCAGTCCGTCAACCAAGTTCATCTTCCCCATGGAGTTCACCTCCATGCTGTCCCCGTTCCTTGGGATGGGCAATAACAACCAGGGCGGCGACAACAACTCCAACGCTAGCGGCAACTCCGACGGCAACGATAACAACCGCCAATAAGCGATTCGCTCGTGGCTGCTCGCCGGTTCAGCGCTGATTGAACAGGGCGGTCACCTTACCATCGTCTGCCAGGAGCCGCAGGGCGGCGGCGTAGGGTTCCGTCGCCTTGGTGTCGATACCGTCTAGAATCTCTGCCATAGTCGGGTCACTGCGAATCAGCGCGGTAACCCGGCGATGCAGTTCCTCCTGCACCGATTCCAAAAACTCCTGCCGCCTTCGTTCCACCCGGCGTCGCTCAAGGTTACCGGAATCAGTCAGGAACTTTCGGTGATCCTCTACCCCGCTCCAGAATTCGGCAACGCCGACGTTGGCGTGGGCCTGTGTCAGCAGCACCGGCGGATTCCATCCCTTGGCCAGGTCCGCCAGGTGCAGCATGTTTGTAACCGCGGTTGCCATCTGATTGGCGCCGTCACGATCAGCCTTGTTGATAACGTACAGGTCGGCGATTTCCATCACTCCGGCTTTCAGCGTCTGGATGGAATCTCCAGATTCGGGCATCATGGCTACCGCAACTGAGTCAGCCACGCCCATAATGCCCAGTTCGGTTTGACCAACCCCCACCGTCTCAACCAGTATCACGTCTTTACCGGCTGCGTCCAGCACGCGCACCATGCTCTTTACGATGCGAGGCAGCCCGCCTGATTGCCCTCGCGTCGCGACGCTGCGGATGAATACGCCGTCATCCAGATAGTGTCGCTGCATTCTGATTCGGTCGCCCAGCAGCGCGCCGCCAGTGAACGGACTGGTGGGATCTACGGCCAGGACACCTACGGTCAACCCGGATTGCCGCAGGTGCGCCGTCAACCGATCCACCAGAGTGCTTTTGCCTACGCCGGGTGGCCCGGTGATGCCTACGGTGTAGGCGCGGCCCGTGTGCGGGTCCAGTTGTTCCATCGCCGGGGACGCTGATGCGTCGCCCCGTTCCAACAGGGTTAACAGCCTGGAAACCGCCCGTAGTTCACCGCGCAATGTGCGGTCAGCCAGTTCGTTCATCAGACTCATTGGGGGCGGAAATCGTAACACAATGGCGAAACACGTCGCTGAATCTAACACCGATACCCAGGCTGGTCAAGGAGTCATCCCAGCCGTAACTGTTCAGAGTTGAAGGTAGTATCCTGGCCCCAACCTGTCTTTCCCGCGAACGCGGGAATCCAGGAAGCCGAGGATTGGCAACATTGCGGTTTAAAGACGTCTCTGGATTCCGGCTCAAGGCCGGAATGACGGAATGGTATGGCCGGCATGAAGGAGTGGTATGGAAATCACACGTCGAACCTGAACTGTTACTCCTAGCCGTGTGCTTAACAATACAGCGTCCAGCGGTTATCATCGTCCTCTGATTGAATACCAACGCCAACTATCAACGAGGTGAGCGACATGACAATGCCATCCGACACGCTGCAGGGCAAGGTGGCCATCGTGACCGGCGCGGCCAGCCCGATTGGCATGGGTCGGTCCATCACTACCGGTCTGGTTCGCGCCGGCGCCCGTGTGGCAATGCTGGACATCAACGAGGACTGGCTGGACCAAACCGCCAACGATATGAGGGAGCTCGGCGGCGACGAGGCCGTCCTGCCCATCATCGCGGATGTAACCGACCCCGATTCCGTGCAGAATGCTGTCAGCCGTACCATCAGCGAGATGGGCGGGTTGCACATCCTGGTCAACAACGCCGGCATCAATCCGCGTACCGCCGGGTTCACCACCAGCGGGGCTGCCGGCAGCCCCAACGATTTCTGGGGCATTGCGCCCGAGGCCTGGCTCCGGGTCATATCCGTCAACCTCAGCGGGCCTTTCCTGATGTCTCATGCCGTGGCGCCCCATTTCCTTGAGCAAGGGTCTGGTCGCATCATCGGCGTAACCACCAGCATGGACACCATGTGGCGGAAAGGGGGCGCTCCGTATGGCCCCTCCAAGGCTGGGCACGAGGCGCTGATAGCAATCATGGCGCAGGATTTCGAAGGCAGCGGAGTCACGGCAAACGTGTTGACCCCGGGCGGAGCCACGGCAACCAACATGGTGCTGCCGCCGGAGGGCGGCACCGCCGAGGCTCTGATACAACCCGAGGTCATGCAGTCACCCGTAGTCTGGATCGCATCCGACGACGCCAGCGACTGGAATGGGCGGCGCATCATAGCTTATTACTGGGATGAGTCATTGCCGTTAGCGGAGCGATTGGAGAAATGCAGCGCTCCGGCGGCCTGGCCGCAACTGGGGCTGCAGGCAGTGCATCCAGACTGGTACGGGCGCGGCTGATTACCTTTCTGGCGCGATTACAAATTGAAACAAAAACGGCCCCCCGGCTCGAGCCGGGGGGCCGTTCCAATTCCTCGAATAGTGATCAGTGCCTGAATCCCGTCTCAAACCCCCGGGCCGACGGATTAATCAGCAGGTCGGGCCGATTGCCCCAGCGGCGCAGGAACCGACCGAAGTTTTTGCGGCTGAGTTCGTCGCGCTGATTGTTGTCCAGTTCCTCCCATTGGCGGTGTTCGTGTCGCACCAGCGGCAGGCTGCTGTCGCAAACGATTCGGAACCCAGCATTTTTGAACTGGAAACAATAGTCGATGTCCAGGTTTCGGTAAAACCGGAACGACTCGTGCATCAGACCCACGGCAGCCAGGTCATCGCGGCGGAACGACATGCAGTAAGCCTGCATTGCGTCGGCGTCACCCCGGTCCACCTCTTCGTGGAAGTGTTGCATGTCGTCTGTGGTGAGACCATACGGCCCGAATACTCCCACAGACCGGTCGGCAAGTTGCTCGGCCACCGGCTGTAGCATGTCCCCCACAACTTCTACGGAAGCGTCCATCAGCAGAATATAGCGGCCCCGGGCCTGCTTGAGGCCGATGTTTTTGCCCGCAGCATCGCCCACCACGTGGTCGCAGTGAATTACCTTGACGTTACTATGTTGCCTTTGGGCCTCTTCCAGGTAATCGGCAGTTCCGTCGGTGGAGCCGTTGTCCACGACAACAACCTCCACGGATGCGCCCGACGTGTTGGCTAAAATCGACTCCACGCAGCGACGTACGTCGTCTACGTAATCGTAGGCGTTGATCAGGAAAGTGAAATCGTACAAATCGGGTTGGTCCAACAACGATGGAATCTCCCGCGAGGCAGAAACGGACGCCCAACGCGATTCCTGCTGTTCCAATGGCGTTTGGGGACGCACCCGGGAGGTTTCTCCAACGTCTTCTACGACCAGTCCTTCTGACAATACATCGGAACGCAGGGCATCGGCGTCGGCGAAGGCTGCCTGCCGTCGCAGCGCCATCCGGCGGGCGATCAGCTCAGATGCATCGGGACTGATGTCGTATTCGGCTGGCACGTCGTCCAGATCGAGGCCGAACACCCGGTCGAAGTCCAGAATCAATTCCAGCTTGTCCGCCGGCGGCAGATGTGAACTCGCCATGTCCCAGGTGATTGCCAGCCCCCTGGGAAGATCGAGATCATTGTGCACCGCGTCCCAGAACCGATTGCGCCAATCTTCCACCACGCTCCGGTCTTCCAGGCGAGATGAACTGTCCATCGGCGCATTCTGCCAGTTCCATACCCGGTTGCGCAGGCTGGTGAGAGCCTTCTCCGCGGCGCGCAGCGAGGTGAACGTGAAATTCATGCGGTGGCGGTATCGGACCGTCATACACAGGTATCGAACGCCAGCGGATTGAAACCGCGGGTTGCCAGGTCCTCGATGAGGAAGACGTTGCCCGCCGATTTTGCCATCTTGGCGCCATCGGCCAAAAGGTGCTGCCCGTGTATCCAATAGTTAACGTGCCGGTTGCCGAAAGCGCCTTCGCTCTGGGCAATCTCATCTTCGTGATGGGGGAACACGTTGTCCACGCCACCGGTATGGATGTCGAACCGTTCGCCAAGATACTTGTGGGCCATCGCCGAACATTCGATGTGCCAGCCCGGAAAGCCCTCGCCCCAAGGACTGTCCCATTTTACGTCCCGGCCAGGTTCAGCCGCCTTCCAAAGCGTAAAGTCGCGAGGGTCCCGCTTCAGCGGGTCAGCTTCTGCCCGCACGCCTTCCAGCAAATCACCACCGAAGTTATTCGACAACCTGCCGTATTCGGCGTAGCTATTTACATCGAAGTAGATGTTCCCGCCGGCTTCGTATGCCGATCCTTTTTCCATCAACGTCCCAACCATTTCCAGCATTTCAGGGATGTGTTGGGATGCCCAGGGGAATACGTGGGCCGGCAGAATGTTCAGGTGTGTTTCATCGCGCCAGAAGCAATCGGCGTAAAACTCGCCGATCTCCTGAATGGTCTTTCCTTCTTCCAGCGCGGCCATGATCATCTTGTCGCCGCCCGCCTCAACCAGCTCCTGCCGCATGTGGCCGACGTCGGTGATGTTTTTGATGTGGTAAACCTCGTTACCGTCAGCGGTCAGAATACGACGTATCCAGTCTGCCATCAGGTAAGTACGCAGGTTGCCGATGTGTGCGTACCGGTACACCGTCGGTCCACACGTGTACATCGTGACGCGACCCGGCGTCATGGGCTTGATTTCCTCGACGGATTTGGTAAGGGTGTTATAAATTCGTAGCACGTTTCCCCTCCCCCAGGCGGGTGGTTGGCGTCAGTTTAGCACGGAGATTCCCGGATTGCACACTTGCCGCGAGGCATCCCGAGGCAGACTTACCCCGGGACTTGGTGCTGCCAGAAACACCGGTGGAACGCCCATCGACAATTCCGGCGCGTCACCGATCGCCACCACACGATTATTGCTGTGGCGTCACCACCACTCCCGATGCCTTAAGTCCCGAGATCTCCGCACTGGAATACCCGACTTCGTTCAGGATCTCATCCGTGTGCAAACCGAACCAGGGCGCCGGAATGCCCAACCGCGGTGGTGTGGCCGACAGGCGCGCGGTGGTGCCCGAGTGATCCACGCGCCCCCAAACGGAGTGCTCTCGCGTCACGATAAAACCGGCGCTCCGTACCACCGGGTCATCCCGGTAATCTTCCATCGTAAGGTTGGCTGTAACTGATACGCCCAGGGGACGCAGCGCACGCGCCCAGTGTTCTATCGTGCCCTTACCGATGGCATGAGACAACGCCGCCACCGTTTCTTCGTCCGCACGAGTCAGGGCGACTTCGGCAAGCTCGGGCAACGCCAGTGCAGCCTGCCACGCTGAGTCCGTAGGCGCGTGCAGATACAACCATCCGTCGGATGCCTGGTACAGCCGGGAGCGTGGCGAGTAACCGCGCACGTCCACGCCCTCCAGATCGGCCCGTTCGTATCCTTCGTAATCCAGAAAGTAGGGCGACTGCAACAGGCCGGCGGTTAGGGCCAGGCCACTGTCCACCGATTGTCCCTGTCCGGTGCGGTTGCGTTCGTGCAGCGCCAGCGCCACGGCGTATGCACCCATCAGGCCGGTGCCGTAGTCGTTCACCGCGTACGGCGACAACATGGGTGCCCCGTCGCGACCACCGCGGCGCACCTGCATCCCGCTGGTACCTTGAGTCAGCTGTTCCCAACCGGCCCGCTCCGACCAGGGCCCGTCGTAACCGAAGGCGTTCAGCGAGGCATACACGATGTCGGGCTTTACCTTCTTGACCGCTTCGTAACCCAGCCCCAGCCGGTCAACCGCCGATTTGCGGTTGTTTTCCACGATGACATCGGCGGTCTCAACCAGTTTCCAGAACACCGCGCGCCCTTCGTCAGACTTCAGGTTCAACATGATGCTGCGCTTGCCCCGGTTGACGTCGATGTAACCCACCGGGTCCAGGATCCTAGTCGGGTCGTCGATTTTGATAACGTCCGCGCCGAACTCGCCCAGCGTGCGCCCGCAGGTCGGGCCGGCCAGGATGATGCACAAATCGAGCACCCTCACGCCCTGGAGGGCGCTCATTACGTCCTCGTTGACAGAGGGAGCCTGTGTCTTCGACGGTGTCGATGCGGCCTCGGAAAGGACGGCATCGGTGTGCTCGCCCAGCCTGGGAGCTCCGCCCTGTATCGCCCCCGGAGTACCCTCAAACGAACCTGTACGCCGGGTTGTTTCATGGTTCCCCGCTCGGCGTCTTCCACATCAACAACCATCTTCCCGGCGGTCGCGTGCTCGTGCACCAGCCATTCGTCAACCGTCTTACACACCGTGCACGCCCCGCCCTGGGCGTTGATGTCGGTTTCCCATTGCCACGCCGTGCGGTCCTTGAACATCTCGGCGAACCGCCCCTGCCACATTTCCAGTGTTGCCGGGTCGACGGGTCGGCCGAACAGAGATACCGCTTCTTCTATCCAGTCCTCCCGGCCGGCGGCGGTGAGAGTTTGCCGGGCGAATCGTTCGAACATACCGTGGTGGTAAACCCAGCGGCCGTCGGCGCACTCATACGGATGGGACATCACGGCCCGCGGGAAATCGAATCGGTCCACGTATTCATAGTCGTGGAACTTGATGATGCGGCTGCCCATGGCGGTAAACATCGCCGAGTGCAACGGTACCTCGATGCGTTGCCCTTTCCCCGATTTGTCCCGTGCATTCACGGCCATCACAACGGATACGGATCCGAGCAGGGCGGCGAAGGTACTGGCGATAGGGAGCGGTGTAAAAAGCGGATCACCGCCGCTCTCACTGGTTTCAGCATAAAAACCCGTTTCCGCGCTGATCACCGGATCCCACCCGGCCTCGTTGCGGCTGGGGTGTTCGTCCCCGTAGCCCGGAAGAGAACAGTAGATCAGACCGGGGTTGGTTGCTGACAGCTCGGTGTAACCGATGCCCAGGCGGTCGGCCACGCCAGGCCGGTAATTCTCAATGACCACGTCGGCGTTGGCGGCCAGTTTCCGTGCGTTTTCGCGGCCGGCATCGGTTTTGAGGTCCAGAACCACCGAGCGTTTGCCCCGGTTCCAGGTCGCGAACGCTGGTTCAGACCGGCCCGGATCGCCTCCCGGCCGCTCCACCTTTATAACGTGGGCTCCTTGGTCGGAAAGCAGCATGCCCAGCATCGGGCCGGGGATGTATTGGCCGAATTCGACAACTTGGATATCTCGCAATGCTCCGGCAGCGCCGTTGGTGGTCATGTTTTTGCTCCTTTGGATTCTACCGGGCGCGGTGGGTTCCATAAAAATCGTGGCGTCCGTATGGTGAATAACTGGAAGGGTGATTTAATACCCTACCCGGTGATCCATGCCGGCGGGTTTACGATCGGGTGAACCTTCCCGGATCGCATCCCTTCAGGCTGATATCAGATTGGCCGCTTGCTATGAGGTCGGCGACACCTTTGCCCATTGCCGGGCCAAGCAAAATCCCCTTCTTCTGGCCGCCGGCGGAAATGTATACGTTGTCCCACCCCGGCGCCGACCCAACGATCGGTATCCAGTCGGGTGTAACGGGCCGCAGGCAGGCGGTATGTTTGGCTATGGTGGCGTTTGCCAGCGAGGGTACCAGCCGCACCGCATTTTTCAGTATCTGCTCCCGGGCCTCTTCAGTGAGAGAAAGGTCGAATCCAGCCTCTTCTTCCGTGGCCCCGCACCAGATCAGGCCATCGGTCTTTGCGTACATTGAACTGCCGGCTCCTATCAGTTCGTATGCCAGTCCCGGCCCGTCAGGTTGCAGCCGGATGATCTGGCCCTTGAGCGGATCAACTGGGATGGCAATGTCCAGCCACTGCTCAGCCGTGCGACACCACGGCCCCGCGGCGATCAGCAGTGCGGCGCACGGAATCTCGCCGTCGCTCGTCACCACCGATTCAACCCTTCCGTTGCCCAGGCGCAGCCCGATCGCGCTCGTGCTGACCACGTTGCTCCCGCGATTCACAGCCGCCGCGGCCAAAGCCTGCGTGAACTCCTGGCCATCCAGCGAACCGTTGCCCACTGCTCGCACGCCGCCAATGATATCCGGAGAGACGCGCGGTTCTATCGCCAGCACGTCTTCCCGCTCCAGCCATTCGGCAGAAAAACCGGGCTCGGTCGTACCGTTGAATGTGGACAGCGTATCTCTGAGATCGGGCAGCTCGTCCTCGGTAAATGCAACTTTCAGGATGGAACTAAACCGCCCGTGATAATCGATCCCGGTTTCTTCCGGGATTTGCCGCCACAATTCCTGATGCAGGCGGAACGACTGCAGGGCCATCGGCAGCAACGGGTCCGGCCAACCGTGTCCTTCCAGCGGATTCAGTCCGCCGGCGTTGTATCCAGAGGCCTGGCTCGCAATATCTTCCCTTTCGATGATGGTGGAGGTAATCCCATTCTGCGCCAGGTAATAAGCAGCAGAACATCCGGCGATGCCGCCACCGATAATTACGACATCAGTCGCGCGTTCTTTCATAACAAAATCCTCTTGGTAGGAATGCGGGTGCTGGACCGGCGTGGTTTGGTGGGCCGGCGTGGTTTGGTGGATAGGATATAATCGGGGCCCGGAGGTGTCTATGCCAATCTATGAGTACCGTTGTTCGGCATGCGGTACCGAGTTCGAATCTATTCGTCCGGTATCTCGCGCCGATGACCCTATTGAATGTAAAGTGTGCCAGCAGCCAGCGACTCGCCAAATCTCCAATTTTTCGTTCAAGTCCGATACTTTCACCGCGCCCAAGTTACGAAATCGTCCCCAGCGCTACCTTTCGCGGCCGAAGTACGGCTGACGCTGAATCTGGCCAACCCCAAAACTCTGACGCGCCGCCCGATTAGAGGGATGTCCCCGGAGGAGGTGGGGTCACTGCCGTGCCGCCCTGGCTTCGTTGCACGCGATGCAGGTGCAGGCGCCGCGCAGTACTCGGTAAGTATATATGCCCGTGTAGTGGGCGTCGCTCCACAGGAATTGCAGGGCGTACTGACCGACCGTCATTTGGTCGACGGCTCGAACTTGCCCTTCCACGCTGTCCGGGTCCAGCAACGCCCGGCCCGTCATTTCCTCGACGCAGGAAGCGCACGGGCAGCGTAGTCGCAGCATCCGGTGCGGATATATCCCCCGGTGGCCATCGTCCCAGTTGATGATGATGGCGCTACCCGAGATATCTACGTCGATGGGTTTGATGATGTCGTTAGTAGCCACGATGTCTCGCTGTAATCTCAAGGTTGTCCGACGATCCGTCCCGTGTTCTGCATCCCAGGGTGGGGCGCCACCCTACCGGTAGCACTAGGATGCGGACTGTACTTCGGCCAGGCGGGCCGGCCGGGGCATTTCGTCGGGGTCGGTAGGGATTTCAATGATGCTGGGACCGTCCACGGCCAGCGCCTTGCTGAATGCCTCCGCAATATCTTCGGGGCGGTCAACCTAAAACCCGGTGCCTCCGAATAATTCGGCATATTTGTCAAACCGCGGGTTTTCGGTGTCCGCGCCCACGTAGCGCTCGTTGAACGCGTATTTTTGATAAGCCTTTTCCGACCCCCAGCAGTCGTTGTTCATTACGATGGAAATGTTTTTGAGACCGTACCTCACGGCAGTCTCAAACTCCTGGGCGTTGAACAAAAAGCCGCCGTCTCCGTTGAAGTTGACCACCGGCCGGTTGGGAGCGGCAAAGTTGGCCCCAATGGAAGCCGGGAAGCTGAAGCCAAGCCCTCCCAGATCCAGCGCCATGATCAAACTGCGCGGCTGGTAGTAATTGAGGCGATCCTGCCCGAAGGTGGGCGCCAGCCCGGCGTCCAGCGCGATTATGGCGTCGCGGGGCATCACCTTCCGCAACTCGGCGTAAACGCGTTGGGGTTTGATGTGGTCGCCCGTCAATTCGCCCTCGGCAGCCAGGCGTGACGCGCGGGCGGCGTTCCAGGCTGCAACCCGGCTGGTCCAGTCGACATCGGGGCGCAATTCGCCGGCTGCCACGATGCTGTTGATTTCTTCGACCACAGCGCCCACGTCGCCCTCAACACCGACCGTCTATCGGATAGATGCGGCCGATTTCTTTGGGATCGATTTCGATGTGAACGATCCGGGCGTCCGCGGATATGAAGCGATGGTCAAAGAACGTCGTCGATTGGCCCAGGCGGGTCCCGGCGGCGATGATCACGTCTGCGTGGCGCACCGCGTCGATGGCCTCCTCCGCGCCCAGTCGCCCCAGGTGACCCAGGTAGTTGGGGTGGTCGTTCGGCACCGCGTCGGCCCGCCCGTAGGAAGTTACGATGGGGGCTCCGGTTAGTTCTGCCAGGCGCGTGACGGCTGCGTCTGCCAGGCTCCACTCCACGCCGCCACCGGCCACGATCACCGGCCGTTGGGCCGACATAATCTCCCGGGCTGCTGCTTCAACCTGCTGCCTGTCTCCCCGGGAATGCCCCTGCCCAGTGCGGTAGGCGGAGGGGGCCAGAATGTCCAAATCGATCTCGGCGCCCGGCAACAGGTCCCGCGGGATGTCTACCAGTACCGGCCCCATCTTGCCAGATGTCGCAATGCGGAAGGCCTGACGCAGGGCATCGGGCAGGCGCTCGATCTTGTTGATCGAAAAACTGGCCTTGGTGATCGGCTCGAACAGGGCAACCTGGTCGAATTCCTGCGTGGAATCCATGTTTTGGTGATCGCGGGAAGCTGACGGCGCCAGGACCACCACCGGAGAATGGGATACGTAAGCAGAGGCCATCCCGTAGGTGAGGTTCAACACGCCAGGCCCATTGGTTACCAGGCAGACCGACGGCTCACCGGAAATGCGGCTGTACCCGTCGGCCATCAGCGCCGCGCCCTGTTCGTGGCGCACGCCGATGAATTCCATGTCGTTTCGGTCGTACAGCGGGTCTAGAATGTCCAAAAATGAAGAGCCAACAATACCGAAAATCTTGCTGACTCCTTCCTGCTGCAACAGTTCGATTACCGCTGCGCCGGCCTTCATACGCTGGGCCATTTTGGTACACTCCTGTGGGTTCTGAGAAATCGTCGCAAGTGTACCACACGTCCATGCCTGGAGCCGTTTCGTGCTATAATGCGGCATCAAAAATTAGGAGGCCTCCCATGAGCACAGTGGCAGTGGAGGTAGTGTACCGGGGTATATTCCAAAAGACCCTGGCTCGGAACATTGTCCGCAGCATAGTATTCGCCGCTCGTAAAGAAGGAAAGATCGGAACCGCTTTTGGACGCTACGGTGACTCACCAGAGCGTAACGGAATACCGGCGAAGCAATTTGCGGTGGTGGCCGATAGCCCGGAAGAGCTGGAGGAAAACCTTACGGTATACGAGGCTCGGGAGGTGGACGTTACCATCAACGTCGACGACACGATGTGCAAGGGCGTCGAATCGTGGGCCTGGTATGGATTGCAGCCCATCAACGCACTGACCAAGGCTGGCGGCACCCTGATCGTAACTTCTCGCCAGGAAGCCGACGCGCTCATCGAGGACATCCACCAGAAGGACACCGCCTACAACCTGGCAATCATCCCGGCAAGCACCAGCTATTCGGGTTTGTGGGTTTACAAAGACGACCACACCGATGCCCGCATACTCGGCGCCCTCGCCAAGGTATGTCCCGAGTTGGTGAGCCTGGAATCCATGGTTGCGGCCATTGACGACCAGGGTTGGGGCGATCTCAAGCAAGTTTCCGCCCGCAACAGCTTCGACCGCACCACCTTCCGTCCAGTAGAACCCGGCGAAGGAAACGACGACACGCCGTTCAGCTTCGACCTGCCCGGCTGGAAAACCATGGAAGAAGGTTTGGTGATTCGGGGAATCGAAGAAGGCGGCGGTTTCCGCGGCGGTACCGAAGGTTACCAGCCCGTCCGCAACGCGGTGTTCAAGAAATTCAGCACCCGCGCCATGCGCCCGGTCATCAATTTCGACACCTGCATCAAGTGCACGCTGTGCTGGCTGCAATGTCCCGATACCTGCTTCGACGTTACTCCAGAGGGCCTCTACGACGCCAATATGGAAGCGTGCTGCGGTTGCGCGGTCTGCGAAGCCGTTTGTCCGGTTCCCGACTGTGTTGTCATGGTAAATGAAGCCGAATTCAACGATAACAACAGCCAGTACGAACACTGGACCCAGGACAAGGACGGCTATCACAAGTGGATGGCCGAGCTGATCGAAGTCCAGAGGACCAAAGACGCCGACCGCAGCCACGGCTATCACAGTCCCGGCAAGTACGAATCGGAGTCTGAGGTTGCGCTCACCGGAGATGATGATTAATGGCGACGCAAGAAATGCAACAAACCGAGCGTGAAGAGCTCATCAGCGGCAGCGAAGCCATTGCCATTGCGTGCTCCCTGGCTGATGTTGACGTAATCACCGCATATCCGATTCGCCCCTACGACACGGTTATGCAATACGTGTCTAAACTCAAGGCTGACGGCGTTTTCGACTGCGACTTCATCGTGGCCGAAAGCGAACATTCCCAGTTCGAAATCGTCAAACACGCTTCTGCCGTGGGCGCCCGCACATTCTGCGGCTCCAGCGGTGTGGGCTGGTTCTACGCCTTTGAAGCCATAACCGTTACCGCCGGCTTGCGTCTCCCCGTGGTCGCAATGGTTGGCAACCGGGCCCTTGACGACCCGGGAGCCTTTGGGGTGGAACACAACGACGCTCTGGCGGTCCGCGACCTAGGTTGGCTGCTCTACTGGGTTGCCACGGCGCAAGAGGCCATGGACATCGCACTGATGGCCTGGCGCATCGCCGAAGACTCCAGGGTGTTCCTGCCCATGGCCATCTCCTGCGACGGTTCGTTCCTAACGCACTCCCAGGCCATCGTAAACGTGCCGACCCAGGAACAGGTGGACCGCTACTTGCCTCAGTACGACCGCGGGCGACTGCAGTTGCATCCGGACAACCCCATCACCATTGCTCCTCAGGTTAACGAGGACTGGCTGATGGAAATCCGCCGGCAAACAGACGATGCAATGAGGCGTTCCAGCGATGTCATCAAGGAAGCCTACGACGAGTTCAAGCAACTCTTCGGACGCGGCGACGATAGCCCATTCATCGATGAGTACATGACCGAAGACGCCGACATTGTCCTCGTTGGAATGGGTACGCTGGCGTCCCCGGCGCGAGTCGCGGTGCGGCGTATGCGCGAGCAGGGCAAGAAAGTTGGCTTCCTGCGGATCAAGTTTTTCCGTCCCTTCGCCACCGAAGAGGTGCGCGAGGCGCTAAGCCATTGCAAGGCGGTAGGGGTGGTGGATCGCGATTACTCATACGGTTCGCCGTCATTCGGTGGCGTGCTGTTCAACGAAATCAGATCAGCTTTGTACACCCTGGATAATCGCCCGCTGGTGCAGAATTTTGTCGCCGGTTTGGGTGGGCGCGAAATCCTCGTGCGCGACGTTGAAGCGATGACGGGCATGGTTCAGGATTCAATCGACTCAGGCAAAGTTAAGGAAGAAAACACCTGGATTGGTGTTCGGGAATAGGAGGGCCGTAATGACAACTATGATGCAAGACCTCCCCCAGGTTAGGGGAGTCAAACAAATACCAGTCTACGAGGGATTCACGTCTGGTCATCGCACCTGCCAGGGCTGTGAATCAGCTCTTGTAATGCGTCTGATGATCAAGGCCGCCGGCCCTCGCACCATAGTGGTGGGTAGCACCGGTTGTATGTATGTGGCCAACACCACCTACTACAGCACGCCGTGGGTGGTTCCGTGGATGCATACCCAGCTGGGTTCCAGCGGTTCCGCCGCTACTGGCACCGCGGCCGGCCTGGCGTCGCTGATGCGCAAGGGCAAGATGACTGAAGAACCCATCAACGTCATCGCGTTTTGCGGCGACGGCGGCGGCGTCGATATGGGCCTGTCGGCCATCTCGGCAGCCCTCCAGCACAACGAGTATAACCTGCTCATCCTGTGCTACGACAATGAATCCTACGCCAACACCGATATCCAGGTGTCGGGTTCCAGTCCGTGGGGCGCCAATTCCACGTTCTCTCCTCCTGGCAAGGTCCATCGGATCATGAACCGGCGCTGGAAGAAGAACACGGTGCCAATGCTGGCAGCCGGTCACCCCGACGTCCGTTACGTAGCCACCGCTTGCGGTTCCTACGGCCCGGACTTCACCAACAAGATCCGGCGAGCCCTTACCATTGGCGGCCCGACCTTTATCCACAGCATCGACCCTTGCCCCAAGGGTTGGGACTACGACCCCAAGTATTCTCATGAACTGGGGATGCTGGCGGTCGAAACCGGCATCTGGGTCCAGTACGAAATCGCCGACGGGGAACTTATCCTCAATGGTCCGTCCCGGGCCATCGCCCGTGGTATTCGCCGACGGAAGCCGGTTACTGATTATCTGCAGCGACAGGGACGATTCGCTCATTTGACCGAAGAAGACCTGCAATACTTCCAGGGTCGCATCGATGAGACCTGGGAGAAGTGGTGGATCCCCGGCATCGTGCCCTTTGGCCCTGCCGACCAGGGCGCCTAGCTTACCCAAAGCGTGGCGTGTCCAGAACGCCGCGTCATGCAGACTCCTTTCGACGCCGAGGTGTTAACACTTCGGCGTCGGTGTCTGACACTTCAGGTAATCCAGCCGGCAAGTCGCGTTGGCCGGGTGATGGCTTGTGCTAAACTGGCGACTCAACCAACCAAATCTGAGGTTCCCGAATGGTAAAAATCGCCCTGACGGTTGAAGGCGAAACCGATGAAGTTATCGCTGCCATACGGCAGCTTGCGGTTGGTGACGGTTTGCCGGTGGCGATCGAAGGCAATTTCGCCGGGGCAACGTCGGTTTCACACCCTACGAAGGGCGGAACACCCGATCCGCCGGCTCCCCACGAAGACTGGACCCCCGATCATGTACGCATGTTCTGGGGATTTTTGGCATCCGACGCGAAGGACATATACCGAAAAGTAGCGCGAGCCAATGGTTACGCGTTGCCGCGCCAATCATTACTGACCGACATGCGGCTGTCGATCCGCCAGTTGTCTGGGCGTTTATCTTCACAGGGCCATGCGGTACGGCGGATCCGCAAATCACGCCACGTCACTTTGCCACACCCGATGACATTCGATGCACAATCACAGGAATACAAAATGTTACCGGATGTTGCCGACCCTCTGGTTAAACTCGGCCTGTGAAGATATATACGATATCTTGTAACATCTCCGGCAAACACATTCAGTAACCCAAAAGGAGGTGGTCGATGCGACTTGACCCTATCAATCTATACGACTATGAGGCAAGGGCGAAGCAAATCCTGCCGCACAACAACTGGGAGTTCATTGAAGCCGGCTCAATGGACGAAATCACCACGGCGCGTAACCGCTCGGCTTTCGAAGCCCTGACCTTGCGCCCCCGCTTTTTGCGAGACACGACCGAGCGGAAAGTTTCCACCACTGTCCTGGGACAGGATATTAGTTCCCCGTCATGATTTCTCCCACCGGCGGTCACGGCAACGCTCATCCGGATGCCGAGTGCGCCACCGCTCGCGGCGCCGGGATGTCCAACACGCTGATGATGTGCAGCACCTCGTCCAATTGCAGCCTCGAGGAAATCGCCGAGGCGGGCACTGGGCCGTTGTGGTTCCAGCTCTATCACCGTGGCTACGATTTGACCGAGAGCCTGGTGAAACGGGCCGAGGAAGCCGGCTTCCGAGCCATCGTGCTAACCGTCGACACACCGGCTCCCAGCCCCAAAGAGCGCGACGTTCGAAATCGCTACCAGCGGCCCGGAGAATTGGGTAACTTCCGCGAGCAGCAGGACCAGTTGTCGCAGGTCAGCGGAACCGACGAGTCGCCGACTTGGGAAATGCCCCAGTCTCCGCCGCTTACCTGGCAGGAACTCGACTGGCTGCGCAGCCTCACCAACCTGCCCATCGTTTTGAAAGGCATCCGCGTCGCCGAAGACGCCCGCCTGGCGGTTGAACACGGAGCGAACGGCATC